CACAGTGAGGAGGATGGTAAGAGAAGTAAAAAAAAGTCCTAAGCTCACTGTCACAGAATTGCATCAAAGAGTGGCATCTTGGGGTCACAAAGTCTCCAAAACAACCATCAGACGCTCTCTACATGCCAACAAGCTGTTTGGGAGGCATGCAAGGAAAAAGCCTTTTCTCACTAACACTCACAAACGTAAACGTCTGGAGTTTGCTAAGCGGCACTGGGACTTCAACTGGGATCGTGTGCTTTGGTCAGATGAGACTAAGATTGAGCTTTTTGGCAACAAACACTCTAAGTGGGTCTGGCGTAAAACAAAAGATGAGTATGCCGAAAAGCACCTCATGCCCACCGTGAAGTATGGTGGAGGATCTGTGATGCTGTGGGCCTGTTTCTCTTCCAAAGGCCCTGGGAACCTTGTTAGGGTGCATGGCATTATGAACGCTTTGAACTACCAGGACATTTTAAATAAAAACCTGATGGCCTCTGCCAGAAAGCTGAAGATGGGTCGTCATTGGGTCTTTCAGCAGGATAATGATCCAAAACATGTGGCAAAATCTACACAAAAATGGTTCAGCAGTCACAAACTCAAGGTCCTCCCATGGCCATCTCAGTCCCCAGACCTCAACCCAATCGAAAACCTGTGGGGCGAGCTAAAGAGGAGAGTGCATAAGAGAGGACCCAGGACACTGGATGATCTAGAAAGATTGTGCAAAGAAGAATAGTCAAAGATCCCTCTCTCTGTGTTCTCCAATCTTGTGAAATGTTATAGGAGGAGATTAAGTGCTGTCTTGTTGGCAAAAGGGGGTTGTACAAAGTATTAACATCAGGGGTGCCAATAATTGTGGGACACATGATTTCAAGTTTTTTTTTTCTAAATGTATGATTTTTTTTTTTTTACACCAAAGTAATGTACTTAAATAAAAGGTTGGATTTTTCTCTTTTTTTGCATTTGGGTCCTATGTTGTTTAAAAAAAAAAGGAGAATTTTTGGAAGTCCTCGACCACATCTTAAACAGGGGTGCCAATAATTGTGGAGGGCACTGTATATGTGCCACACAGAGAATGCATTGATCAGTTAAACTACTTTTACTGCTCAATCAATTCACAATCACTCTCATCCTATTTACACAACATTCTCTGCATAACCCGAGTCCCCTAAGCGCTGAGTAATGCTACCTGAACTGCTGAACTGGTAGCTGGCTAATAGGCTTGGGCGGTATCCAGATATTTATATCGTCATGCTGTCCTTCTCTCATCCTGGGATTTACGTTATTACTGGCATAGCACACAAGGGGGCGCTAGAAATGCAAGAAAAGCCCATTGGGCCTCTATTACCAGAATGCTAACAAAATTAGCACAAACTAATAGCAAAATCACATAGAAGATATTAGCTAAATGCTAACGAGCGAAAATGAACATCAACTAATTGTAAAGACAGGCAAATTCGTCTCATAAAGTTATACAAGTCTAGATAGTAGCTACCGAATGTCATTTTCGTTGAGTGTGGACATTTACAAGAGAAAGTGAACGAGATAAATTGTGCATATAAACAAAGTTGTGATGCATGCTTTTCTAAAGGAAGAGCAGCATGTGTACATGGAGAGGAGGGGAGAAGAACGGAGGAGAAAATAACGCTAGTAGGAAGCACAGGGGGAAAAAAACTAATCCAGAGCTCTTTGACTTTCACATTTGTTGAAAAACTTCAAATAAATAATTTTGTCGGTATTGAAGAACTATCCTGTGGCTTTTTCCAAGTACCCCGGTATACCACCCAAGCATACTGGCTAATATCTTCAGCCATGGCCAGCATTTTTACCTTATCGACCCAGAAGCTATCTATCAGTGATTGAGCTGTTAGTATTTTGTATTCAGTGGCATTCCAAAGATGGCTGCAGTTTAGCAGAATTAGTCTCCCGGTAATTACATTTACTTCATTTAGCAGACGCTCTTATCCAGAGCAACTTACAGGAGCAATTAGGGTTAAGTGCCTTGCTCAAGGGCACATGGACAGATTTTTCATCTAGTCAGATCGGGGATTAGAACCAGCGACCTTTCGATTACTGGCACAACGCTCTTAACCACTAAGCTAACTGAGATAGCCATAGAGATAGATAGAGGACTCTAGTGCCCAAAAGGCAATTTTAGCATGGGCAGCGCCATTGAGGACTTTTATGTTGAAATAGTCAACTGGGTGAGACTTCCTATGGGTTAAGGAAGGATCACATAATTCCATTCAGGTCACCAGGAGGGATCAGCCAATGAATTATACTATTGAGGAAACATTCCATAACTGCAGGTGTAAATCGGCAAGCTTTATACCTGTTCAAACAACACACTCTAGATGGCCGTGTGCACCCTTTCAGTTTGTTTACCAACTCATAGAAGTAGAAGAAGAAGAAAATTGACTACTTCAAAATGGAGATGGCCTCAATGGTGCTACCCATGCTCTCACAGACACCATAATGGGACATATTACATTTGACATTTTAGTCATTTAGCAGACGCTCTTATCCAGAGCGACTTACAGTTAGTGAGTGCATACATTTTTCATACATATACAATGATGCGATGTCTAAGTATATGTGTAAGTATAGTCCAAAACGGTCATTTAGCAAGCAAAGCTGTATAATATATTATGTCAGATAAGCTGATTAAGATAATTATGGGGCTAATAAGACACCCAGTACGAGATCAACAGTTCAAAAGGAGATTAAAGTCCATAATTGAAGAAAAATAAACACAAGTAGGACAAGGACGCTAGCTTGGCTTGATTTCCTTTTCCGCCATATGGAAACGTTCATCATGGAGCCCAGATTTGGCCTGCAGACGCAGACAGATGACTAAAGCATCCCCAATGCAAAGGAGCCCCAGCTAATAGACTTTAACAACCCTGAAATTACCACAAATGACCACATCTATGTGTGACAGCATTGTCTGACTATGTGTCAGTCAGCCTAGTAGCACTGATTAGCAGGGACAGGCCGTGTGCCGTTACATCACGACTAGGTGGTGATTTATTGATGAAATACCAGGACCTGACAGATTGTCCCTGTCCACAACCAGTTGCTGTGTGTCAATAACATACCGCCCATGTGGTGTGTTGATTCAGGTGACCAGGGCTGTCACTGTGTCACTTGCCTTCACACAGCTATCGGCACCTGGTTTGATCATGTCAAGGCTAGGTACTGTAAAGTAGCCTTCTTGGGATTGGGTCTACCATGAGCCAAAATAAGATATATTGTTTTTCACTTTCACAGGATCACATTTTAGATTTGGCTTTGAGGATAACTAAAATCAATAAACATAATTGATTTCCAAACTAAGAAAACATTGTGAGTTTGGTGGTCAGAGAACATGGCTGAATTTTCTTTCTATCCCAGAATGGTTTCTAAGGTTGAATCAAGTAATTTCTTAAGGCAAGCTGGTAAAAGCATTATAACAAGCTAATAAATAGTAGTCATGAACATGATGATTGCTTTCCAATCTGCTCTCCCTGGGTGTCCCCTTTCCAGCCCACAGAGCACAGGGGTCAAGCCTCTCTGTCAATGAGAAATCAGCAGCCACCGAGCGACCGACAGACAAACAGACAGACAGTCAGTCAGTCAGCCAGTCATACCAATTTCACACTATCTTGCAGAGCCGAACCGTACGGTACTGGCTCATATGCTGAAAAGGGATTGATCCCAATGGTCACTACTGATCAGTGGGTCTGACTCCGAGACATGCTACCACTGGTCTGGTCAGATGTCTCAGTGCTGCTATGTCATTAGGCTAACAACTTCATCCCCCAGGTTCCTCTGAAGTCCTTAGCAGTGTTCTCATCAGTGTTCTCAGGAATGCTTTGGGGCCATTCAATTCAATAGGATTAAGTCATAGACCTAGCTCACAATGGACACGTTCTCCTTGGAATCTTACATATATTTTAGATCAGGGACGGGCGACTTTGATGGGGGTGGGGGCCACCAAAAAATCTAAACTCATCATGAGGGTCCGTAGTGGCTCGCGGGTCTGCGTACCCACATCCATACCCACACATGCAGTCAGAGCCGTCTCTAGCTTTTTGGGGGCCCTAAGTGAAATTTGGTTTAATGTGACACTTTACATTTACATTTACGTCATTTAGCAGACGCTCTTATCCAGAGCGACTTACAGTTAGTGAATACATATATTTTTTTTATACTGGCCCCCCACTTGGTTTGACTTCTTTGAAGTTCTGCTAATAAACAGCTAGTTTATTAACTATTAATAAACAGTGGAAGCGTAATTTGTTAATATATGTATTAGCATTAGTAAACACATGTATAAACCAGTTATAAATCATGACCAGCAGGCCTTTAATTTTTATACTTAAGGTTAACAAATTATAAAATGATAAGCATCTTATAAGCACACCGTCAAAAATTTTACATTTTTATTTTATTCAGTGTAAAATTCCATCTGTTAGCATAAGCCTCCTGAAGTCTCTGTTAGGAGACAGCGGTGGAAAGATGCTTTGGGACAAAGGCCTTGAAGCCCAGAGCGCCTTGGGGTAGTTATAACAGCTGCCCACACCACCCATCAATAGACTCCAGCCTTTGTCAATTGTCCTCGACCTGATCATTTTACCCATCAATGGTCCATGTAAACATGTGGGTGGAGTGTGGGGGGATGGGGGAACGGAGGGAGAGGGGTGTGTTTGGAAGGAGGGTGCTCCTCAAAGACATGCCCTGCAGATAGAACACAGAGGAGAAATAATGAGGATGGGTGTAGATTGGTGGTGGGAGATAAGGAGGAGTTGGGAGGGAGAGATACATGCACCTGTGTGCACTAATTGTAAGTCGCTCTGGATAAGAGTATCTGCTAAATGACTAAAATAAAAAATAACAAATAAAAATGTATTAGTGTGAAGGAGTGTTTTCTAGTGTGTGCATGCTTATGTGAATAGACAGACCATGTACTCTATCATATCCTGTCTCTGTGTGTAGATAGAGGTATGTCATGGTCTGAAACCCCTCCCTATCTCTCCCAGGTCTCTTCCCCGCCATCCTCAACCTGGCCAGTAATGCAGAGATCACCACCAACGCCACCTGTGGAGAGCCTGAGCCAGAGATGTACTGTAAGCTAGTGGAACACGTACCAGGACGACGCATCCGCAACTCCCAGTGTCGAACCTGTAATGCCCAGAGTCAAAACCCCAAAGGTACAGTAGTCAAGAGCCTCTGAGCATGCATATGGGAGGGGTGGGGAGGAGAGTCTGGGGTTTTACTGTTATGCCTGCTGGCTAGTGCTCCAGACAGTTTGACTTTCCACAGTCTCACTATCTTTGAGTCATCTGTCTGAAAAACAGTACTCCAGGTGTGGATTCCAGGCATTTATGTTCTTGCTTTTCTCTTGATGTTATGCAGAGCAACATCCAATCACCAATGCTATCGACGGCACCAACGGGTGGTGGCAGAGCCCAAGCATAAAAAATGGCCGCCAGTTCCACTTGGTGACCATCACTCTGGATTTACGACAGGTAGGAATTCTCAGGACTGCTATGTTGCTGCTTTTACACTGCGCCGCTTTCTTTAACTACAGGCTGGGAACACACACACACTATAAATTGTGCCTTCCTGTATTATACTTATGCTAAAACCATTATTCCATTCTACTGAGCTATTTACCTTATGTTTATATTCTTGTCTTTTATTATTTCTTATTGTTGTTGCATTGTCGAGAAAGAACCTGCAAGTAAGCATATACCATGTGTATCCTATACATATGACTAATAAAACGTGGGTGCTGCTGATAACAAAATGGTGGGGGGAGGGGGCTATGCCTGGATGGCCTCTCTCTCCCTACATCTCTCTTTTTAATGCCTCTTTTTTTCTCACATTCTCTTTCTCTCTTTCTATCCATTCCTCTCTCTGTGCCTTATTTCTTTCATTCTTACACTCTCCCTCTCCATTTATCTCTCATTCCATCTCTATCCAGTTCTCTCTCTCTCTCTCTCTCTCTCTCTCTCTCTCTCTCTCTCTCTCTCTCTCTCTCTCTCTCTCTCTCTCTCTCTCTCTCTCTCTCTCTCTCTCTCTCTCTCTCTCTCTCTCTCTCTCTCTCTCTGTCTCTCCCAAATTGTGAGGGGGGGACTGAGCTGAGCCAGCTACTTAAAAAAAAATCCTGTTTCAACAGGCACTCGAAAACAAGACCCTCTTTCATCGAGCCACCACACACACACACTATAGTAGGCTGCTGTGATGGTGCAGTCTTTTAACCAACCTGTTTCAGAGGTGCACACTATATCACATCACCTACTGCAGTCACACAGTATATCACTGGGGATTAGACTGAATGTCATACCCATGCTAAGATGTGTCCCCTCCCTACTTCCTCTTGCAACTTATATTGACCTCAGGAATGCACAAATGGAACCTCATTTGGATGTATACATCCCAGTAATTGTTTTAATGTGAAAATACAATCTTCAAAGTGTGCATCTGTGTGTGTGTGTGTGTGTGTGTGTAGCCATTCACCTACCTTTCAACGCTCTGTCTGCCTAGATTACATGTCATCCTGCATCTAGATTTAGCCTCAGTTTTGATACTAGGGCTGGGAATTGCCAGGGACCTCACAATATAATATTATCACGATACTTAGGTGCTGTTCCAAACATTTTGCTCACCATATGTTTGCTGCAGCGGGACGAAAGAGAGCCATGAGAAAACGAGTTTTGATCAGTTATGTAAATATAAGTGCTGAAAACAAATTGGCTCCCTATTTCAAAAGAAGATGGAGAACAAGCTACGAAGGAAAAAGACTGGAGTTTTGGTGCAGGTACAGCCGAGTAGGTCAAAAATAATATAGAAATTCCCGACCACTATAGGCTACCTCAACAGGCTTAAGATTTGAGATGTGATGTTTATCCACTGCTTAGCAATGGAGGAGATGAAAGTGGAATAAACAGGTTCAGTGGTGACGAGAATACAGCTCGGAGCCAGTCACTTTAATCTAGCGCGTTTGATTCAAAATGAGCGTTTGGGACTACTCCGCAGTAAACGTACACTTATCTCTACATTTGATTTGCAACCGCAGAAGATTCCATGATTCCATTTCCTTCCCCTCGAGAGTTATCAGGGAAAAATGGTGAAGACACATGCAGAAACAGGGAAAATCAAAGGTTGAGAGAAGTCGGGATTACAGGCCGATGTATCATTAACATTCCCAGTGAGATTCCTGACGTGTGATAACTTTGATATGGTAATGTCATTATATGTTCTATCGTTGCTACCAAAGAGAGTTGTCATGACTTAACACTGAGATATGGTAGCAGTGAGTGATGGAATTGTATCTGGTGCTAAATACACAGTATAGGCCAAATTATTCAAAATGTTACATTATCATACAACAATAATAGAATATTCTCACATTAGATCAAACAAACATTTGTATGAAGTTAATAAAAGCAAAACCAAGCGTGTCATGTCAATAAATCAACATTGTGAATAGCAGATGTCAAGAAAAGCATAATAACCCAACTCATAAACCAACCCAAAATGACTGAGACTTCTCAAAACCAGTTTCAAGAGCGAAGAGAAACATCTACATGGAAAAGATTAGCTTGTCAATGGGAGCTTTGTTTGACTGATTCATTATATCTCTAAAAAACTCATATTTACCATAAGCTAGTGCTAGTCTAGCTAGCCCTCTCCTCTGAGGAGCTGAGATACTTTGTGTCTCCAACTAACTGCTACATCTCAATACTGACGTCTTCATGTGGGAGAACACTGATTCTCACAACAGTAGCATGAATGCAACTGGTGCCCTAAGAAAATATAACATTATATCTAGGCTATATCTTCCTTTTTTACAAACTGATGGCTTTAATCTCTGTTCAAAAAAAGGGTTTAAAATAAGTCTACAGTGCCACAATGTAAATATATTCTTATATAAGCTACAGTATGTTGCACATATGTTCTATTTTAAGTGAATAAGTGAAATGCCTATATACACTTATTTGATGAAGACATGTGTTTTTGGTTTGGTACCAGTGGCATCCATCTTGATTAAAGCCCCCAGTGTGGTGCCTAGCAGACAGTACTAGTATTGACCAGTATCCAGCAGGAGTCCAAACCCGAAAGGAAACAGTGTCAAAGTGTCAGGATTTAGATGGGCTAATCTGCCTGTGGATGCCATTCCAGCACATCACACACACACTCACACACACACACACACATACATACACGGGGGGGGGGGGGGGGGGGGGGGGCTCTTTATCCAATTAACAGGCCCCAGCCAAACAAACAGAGGGGACACCATTTGGGGCTCTCATCCTGTGGGCCCCCCAGGCGGCTCAAACCCAGGGGAGAGAGGGTTAGAGAGGGGAGAGGGGCAAATGCAGGCACTGCTGTCCAAACAGCCCCCTGTCCCACTGCCCAGCTGTGTTGGCCCACTCCCTTTACAGCGACAATGCCGCCACCGTCACCACCACAATAGCCATCGTAAGGACCCTCTGACAAAATACAACCTGTAAGGCCCACCGATATGTCAACATGTTACCTTACTTTTTATAGACACACTTCATGTAAACAATGTGGGAAGTGGGAAGGTAGTATGTTGATGGGTTGTGATTGGTGAGAAGGGACCGTCCATAACACTTGATAGGGTTCAAATTCACATTCAAATGTGAATTGAACAAATCCTGAATTGGAGGGGGGGATCATTGAAGACAATGACCAATTTACAATTATTTTCCAATATGGAATTGACCCCGACCCCAACCTCTAAAGAAAACCTATCTGTGATGTGATTCATAACTTACAGTAAGTGTTTCTGGTGAAAGAGCCATGGCGGTGGCTGGTTTCCTACACTGGCTCATACTGGCTGATATCCACACTGTCCTGTCAAGTTTGTGGCTGGGCCTCTCTGAGCACATGTCCTGTCGTGTCCGGGGCTCTCCGGCCCCCATCGCCCTTCCCCCATCTCCGATCTCCCACCAACACAAAAGACTTACTCATCTCCCCCCTCTAGACAAAAAAGGCCTGTGGCCAAATGCCAGCCTCTTTTATGTGGTCCGAACCCACAGCCATGACTTCCACCGCTATTGTCTGTGTCTGGATTCCAACTTTACTGCCACCACAGCATACAGTGAGGGAAGAAAGTATTTGATCCCCTGCTGATTTTGTACATTTGCCCACTGACAAAGACATGATCAGTCTATAATTTTAATGGTAGGTTTATTTGAACAGTGAGAGACAGAATAACAACAAAAAAATTCAGAAAAACGCATGTAAAAAATGTTATAAATTGATTTGCATTTTAATGAGGGAAATAAGTATTTGACCCCTCTGCAAAACATGACTTAGTACTTGGTGGCAAAACCCTTGTTGGCAATCACAGAGGTCAGACGTTTCTTGTAGTTGGCCACCAGGTTTGCACACATCTCAGAAGGGATTTTGTTCCACTCCTCTTTGCAGATCTTCTCCAAGTCCTTAAGGTTTCGAGGCTGACGTTTGGCAACTCAAACCTTCAGCTCCCTCCACAGATTTTCTATGGGATTAAGGTCTGGAGACTGGCTAGGCCACTCCAGGACCTTAATGTGCTTCTTCTTGAGCCACTCCTTTGATGCCTTGGCCATGTGTTTTGGGTCATTGTCATGCTGGAATAACCATCCACGACCCATTTCCAATGCCCTGGCTGAGGGAAGGAGGTTCTCACCCAAGATTTGACGGTACATGGCCCCGTCCATCGTCCCTTTGATGCAGTGAAGTTGTCCTGTACCCTTAGCAGAAAAACAACCCCAAAGCATAATGTTTCCACCTCCATGTTTGACGGTGGGGATGGTGTTCTTGGGGTCATAGGCAGCATTCCTCCTCCTCCAAACACGGCGAGTTGAGTTGCTGCCAAAGAGCTCGATTTTGGTCTCATCTGACCACAACACTTTCACCCAGTTCTTCTCTGAATCATTCAGATGTTCATTGGCAAACTTCAGACGGCCCTGTATATGTGCTTTCTTGAGCAGGGGGACCTTGCGGGCGCTGCAGGATTTCAGTCCTTCATGGCGTAGTGTGTTACCAATTGTTTTCTTGGTGACTATGGTCCCAGCTGCCTTGAGATCATTGACAAGATCCTCCCGTGTAGTTCTGGGCTGATTCCTCACCGTTGTCATGATCATTGCAACTCCACGAGGTGAGATCTTGCATGGAGCCCCAGGCCGAGGGAGATTGACAGTTATTTTGTGTTTCTTCCATTTGCGAATAATCGCACCAACTGTTGTCACCTTCTCACGAAGCTGCTTGGCGATGGTCTTGTAGCCCATTCCAGCCTTGTGTAGGTCTACAATCTTGTCCCTGAAATCCTTGGAGAGCTCTTTGGTCTTGGCCATGGTGGAGAGTTTGGAATCTGATTGATTAATTGCTTCTGTGGACAGGTGTCTTTTATACAGGTAACAAGCTGAGATTAGGAGCACTCCCTTTAAGAGTGTGATCCTAATCTCAGCTCCTTACCTGTATAAAAGACACCTGGGAGCCAGAAATCTTTCTGCTTGAGAGGGGGTCAAATACGTATTTCCCTCATTAAAATACAAATCAATTTATAAAACATTTTACATGTGTTTTTCTGGATTGTTTTGTTGTTATTCTGTCTCTCACTGTTAAAATAAACCTACCATTAAAATTATAGACTGATTAATTTCTTTGTCAGTGGGCAAACGTACAAAATCAGCAGGGGATCAAATACTTTTTTCCCTCACTGTATCTTAAATGTTCAAACTGCTGAAATTGGGTCTTGTTCTTGACTAGGCCTGAGAATGTACTGCTTTTCAGTGTTCTGCTGGTTTCTATTCAGTGTCAGAGACACAACAAATAGGGGAGCCAAATGACAGCCTCCAAAAGCTTTTCTGTGTGAATATTTATAAAATACTCAAGTAATTTACCTGACAATTTTACATATTCAAAATCAACGTTGTCTAACTTTGTGTCTAACTTATAATCACACACAGGCAGTTTGGTGTGTATTGTAACAAGCTAGAGGTTAGGACAAGGTCTTTATAGCATGTTGGTGATTAGTAGCAAGAAGGACATAGCTCTGCTCAGTGTCTGTGGTGGCCATATTTCTTTAGTTTTGGTCTAGGCTTCTCCCTCCAGTGAGGGGACTTAGCTCCGCTCTCTGAGCTCCACAGCCCCGGCCCCGCCCAGGGCGAAGCTCAACTGGTGAACTGGGCCCCTTTGATGGCTTAGGGGCTGATGGGTAATCCTCCTGTCTCTCCCCTGCAGCCTGGTTCCGCTCGTTCCCACTGGCCGGGTACCCCTGACTGTCTTCTCCCGCCTTGTTATCTTTCACCCGCTCTCCCGTCGGCCAAACTGGCACAGAGGCTAGTCTGGCTACCGGTCGGGAAGCACACTTCTATTCCTTAATGTTACTCCAATTGGAAAAGTGTTAGTAAGTGTATGTGTTTTCGTTTTGTCTCGTAGGTCACAGTTTACCCTTCGATTACCCCACGATTCAGTCTTCTAACACACTGGTCAGACTTTTTCACTTATCCTTTGAGACAACCCCTGCCAAACCCCCCCACCTGATCCAAAATGGCAGCTAATTACAAAGATAATCCTCTGCCTGTTTCCCGCAGCTACTGGCAGCCAGGTCTTGCTAGCTCACATCAAAGTCCGCCAGCCAGTCACAGTGACCAGGCAGCTTAGCCGAGGCACACCATTACACAGGGCTTTGTGTCCTACTGGGCGGAATGGGATTTAATGGTAACGACTGGGTGGCTAAAGAGACACAGTGGGAACAACTTTGCCCTCAGCATCTAGTAATGACTAACACTTTGTATTCTAGCAGTCACAGTAACTAGCCACGTCAAAACATATTGCTGAAATGTGGCACTCAGATCACAATTTCAGCAAACTGTCCCAATTTCTGACACAGATATCTGATTTCATTGGTTTTACATTTGAAATAACTGATATCTGGTGATGTTAGCTAACTTGTATCCTCTAAACTGAGTGCTCTAGTAATGGGCTTTTAGTTAACTTGAGGCACAAAGGCAGCTAGTCCACTGTTCAGGTCTGCCTCCATCCAGGACTGGAATGTGTTGTAGTCCATATGGATCCAGATTAACTAACCCAGTCCAGTCACAGCATCTGTTTGCCCCACGAGAACACTAAGCACCTTTGAGGGAGGTCGTAGACACACACACACATACACACACACACACATTCTGGATTAGACTGGGCCAAAGAACCAAAGAAAGAAGCTCTGGTGACCAAGCTTCCTTGATGAAAATAATGATGCTTCCTGTCAAAATGATTCTACAGATTGAAGCCCCAGAGAGAGAAAGCTGCTGCTGGGACAGGAATGTTAACCTCACTGACCACATTACCTTTCCTGTCCCAGCCGTCTATCTAGTCATCTCAAGGACATGGAAAGATATCAGAATCTGGCAACCCAAACATTCCCATATTGACTAGAAGTCTGCACAGACTGTACAATTTTATCCGTCTTATGCCACGATTTTGCCGTTATGGCAAATTTTCTGGTCGTAAATGATTGTCACACATCTTGGCTCATTCAGTGTGACAGCGTCTAGGTCTGCCGATTAAGTACCACTAAGTGCGGTCGTAGGCTTCGACCAGAGTTCTGTCTGTGTCTGAAATTTGGAGCCTTTATCATGTAGTGTGGCTGGTGTTACGAGCTGATCCCGGTGACCGACCAATAGGCACTGAGTATGCACACACAAAAATATGATTATTGTAAATAGTCTGATTAATATAATAGTTTGATTTAAACGTTTACATGCTTTGCAAGAATAACTATTTCCCTAATAATCTTGTTCACATGACATATCTGAAATCAGGCTAACTGATGGGATTTTAATAAATGCAAAAAAATACTTTTGGGACATATAAAGTTTGTGTATGAAAACTATTTCTAAAATGCATACTTTTTCAAAACTCACTTCACTTGCGCATGAGCATAGAGGGAGGCTTGCTCTGCTGGTGCTGGCACATGTGCAGATCAAATACACCTCTGCAGTTGGCGTAACCTACATCGGCTAATTTAGCCACGCAAGCCAATAGCAGAATGTGACGACAAAACTGAAACAAATCGTACAATCTGGCCAGATTAATATCAAGAGTTTTATTTGGTAACATCGCACAGTGCAACATATAATAATTGTAAAATACTAAATATGAAGTACAGTGTGGGAAGGCCTTAAGGCATTTAGCCAAAGATGTTTGTCTAGCTATCAGAGGCCCATACAGGTGAATCTTTCAAGGCTGTAGAGAGGATTTCAGAATCTGTCAACCCTATGGTTTCTATACAGACTAAGGCATTTAGCCAAAGATGTTTGAACCGAACGTCTTGTCTAGCTTTCAGAAGCCCATACGGGCTAATCATTCTGTAACTTGAGGATCAGACATAACCTGAGGGAAGTCAACCAGCTCTCCATTTCAAATGATCTATCTCAGCGCTGAGGGGGGATTGACATTTAGATGCACTGGAACGACTTGTGTGGCTTGGCGACGATACCCGCTAACGCTCGCGTTCCCTCGCCGTTGAGGAAGTTATGAATCGGCCGTAAATCAGCTGTGACATGCCAGCAGGTGTGCCTCCTGTCCGCAAGGTAGACTTACAGCCTCGTGTCGCTGCCTGGAACCTTTAGGGAGGATTTAACAGAGGGGGGGTGGGGATGAAGTGTAAGCTTCCTGTCCCAGGTGTCTAGTTTCCACTTAGCCCCTGGGGAAACGCACCATTGACAAGCCAATTGGAGAAGCCGATAACGGCTAGCTCAGGTTCTATGTATGTTTATGTGAGGCAGGCTAGACTGTTATTAGTGTCACTGAGAGGGTCATAGAGAGGTGAGAGAGAGGGAAAGAGAGAATGAGAAAGGACATTCTGGTAATAAATAACATCTCCATTGCAATGGCAGTCTAGTAGTGCCCTGTGACTGTGTAAGGGCCATAGGGGAGTGTTGAGGAGACAGTGAGAGAGTGGAAGCAAGGTCTCACAGTGGGGTTCAAGGGAGCTTTAATTGTTAGCTACAGACCACACTTTAGCTTGGTAACCTATCATATGATGTGTAAGGGGTCATATGCCACGCTGTTAGGGCCAGATGCACTAAGACTGGAATTCAATCAAACATGCAATTAACATTGTGACTACGCCACATGAAAGAGGGTTACAGAGAGTTTGTGGTTTAACGCTGAGTGGTTAAATGTGTCAGTACACTGTTATTACGTTAAAACAGACCTGTTGTGCTCCTTGTCAATCAAAGACTCATATGTAAGGTGCACAGCTTGAGCTTTCAGTCATGCACAATAAAATGGAGATCCAGACATAAAATATTATGGGTGGGAGAATAACTCTGTGTGTGTGTGTGTTTGTGCATGAGTGCATGTGTGTGTGTGTGTGTCCTTTGTACTCACACTGTTAAATATTAAATATTAAAATCTGTCTGTCTGTCTGTGTCTACAGATTTTCCAGGTGGCCTACATCATCATCAAGGCAGCCAACTCCCCTCGTCCTGGTAACTGGGTGCTGGAGCGTTCAATGGACGGTGTTGAGTACACACCCTGGCAGTACTACGCCATCAGCGACACAGAATGTCTGACCCACTACAACATCACCCCCCGCCTCGGACCCCCCACCTACAAACGAGACGACGAGGTCATCTGTACCTCTTATTACTCACGCCTCGTACCCCTGGAGCATGGAGAGGTAGCTATCTATTTATTACTCACGCCTCGTACCCCTGGAGCACGGAGAGGTAGCTATCTATTTATTACTCACGCCTCGTACCCCTGGAGCACGGAGAGGTAGCTATCTATTTATTACTCACGCCTCGTACCCCTGGAGCATGGAGAGGTAGCTATCTATTTATTACTCACGCCTCGTACCCCTGGAGCACGGAGAGGTAGCTATCTATTTATTACTCACGCCTCGTACCCCTGGAGCACGGAGAGGTAGCTATCTATTTATTACTCACGCCTCGTACCCCTGGAGCACGGAGAGGTAGCTATCTATTTATTACTCACGCCTCGTACCCCTGGAGCATGGAGAGGTAGCTATCTATTTATTACTCACGCCTCGTACCCCTGGAGCACGGAGAGGTAGCTATCTATTTATTACTCACGCCTCGTACCCCTGGAGCATGGAGAGGTAGTTATCTATTTATTACTCACGCCTCGTACCCCTGGAGCACGGAGAGGTAGCTATCTATTTATTACTCACGCCTCGTACCCCTGGAGCACGGAGAGGTAGCTATCTATTTATTACTCACGCCTCGTACCCCTGGAGCACGGAGAGGTAGTTATCTATTTATTACTCACGCCTCGTACCCCTGGAGCATGGAGAGGTAGCTATCTATTTATTTAAACTTTATATTACCACAGTGGTCTGAAACTCCCGGCCTGCGAGCCACATTGAGCTCATGAGCTGCATGTTGGTGACCCACAGGCCGGGAGTTTCAGACCACTGCTTTACTAGGTCCGGTTCAGCGCAGATAATTGGATGAGAATGAGCTCTGTGCACCCCCCTCTAGCACCTGTAGTCCAGACAAGGGATGACTCAACCGTCCTCCCGATAATGAAAGCCTGCTTTCCCGGAGTTCCAGACGCCAGCCAGCCTGCTGGGCTACTGTCACTCTAGCCGAGGCAGAGCCGTAATGAACATCTGTGGTTAGGATACTCTGTGGTTTCTCACAGCCCCTGGGGGTGCATCTCAGTAATTTAACAAGGAAGGGAGACAAGGAGATGAAGCCACTTTAGACTATTGAGACGCACCCCGAAGCCCACAGTGAGATCCTTGATCCTGTCTTATATTGTTTAGCCCTGTGTTATGTCATTTGCCTGTTGGTCTGACTGGCAAGTGATATCAGGGAAAAAAGTATCGTAATGACGTAATTCTGTCAATATGTACTGTATGTGTGTTGTTCATTTTTGCCACTAGTCTTTGATCGAAAACGTGTAAAAATAAAATGAAAAATGACTTTGTGATTTATTAAGCCATATTTGGTCATGAAGGTCCTTTGACGTCGTCGTCCATCTTTTTCTGCCCTATTCAGATCCACACGTCTTTGATCAACGGGCGGCCCAGTGCTGACCAACTGACCCCAGAGCTGCTAGACTTCACCTCAGCCCGCTACATCCGGCTGCGTCTGCAGAGGATCCGCACGCTCAACGCCGACCTCATGACCCTCAGCTACCGTGACCCCAAGGAGGTGGACCCCATCGTCACCAGACGGGTATGACTAAAGCACTATCACTAGCACTCACTAACTGTTCTGTTTTCTGTTTAAATAGTATGTTAAACCAAATTGGTCATTCATTCAAAATATGTGGTTTGTGCGTTGTCTTGAAAAACGTTTTCAAAATGTATATTGCATTTTTATGGTTGGTTATGAGCTATTTGCATCTGAATGTGTGAAGTATGAGTTGATACATCAGTTGTCATTTCTCCAGGCAGATTTGAGTGTAATTAATTGGCTTTGTATTTTGTTTCAGTCTTGTCATTCTAACTTGATTGGCATTGTGTTTCCTTCTGCAGTACTACTATTCAATCAAGGACATCTCAGTGGGCGGGATGTGCATCTGTTACGGCCACGCCCAGAGCTGCCCCTTGGACCCCGTTGCCAAGGTAACTCCAGGCCGTCTTCAGTTTTGCCCGTTCAGACTCACACGGTGGTTGTCATTCAGCTTTTTTTTAGTGTAAAACTTATTTACTGCCTTTCACATATTGTGTGAGATGTTAAACATTTTGACCCAGTTAAGCTCCTCTTATCAGGGTCAACATTGGTTCATTGCTGTACTAAAGAGTACTTTTATATCTATTTTATGCAAAGTATGGTAGTAATACTTCTTTATGATAAATCAATTTGGCAAACACATTTGTTTTATAAGTGAATTTAGTATTCCCAGCCCCCCCCCATAGTCCCTGGAGGAATGGTTCGGCTCAACATTTACTCAGTAGAATTGGTTGCCTTCCTCATTAAGTGGGAATGTCACCTTAACAAGAGGATGAGAAAGCAAGCACTAATCCTGTGACCCTTCAACTTGCCACTTGGAAATGCACTCATATATTTCACACCAACGTACAGATGTAGGATTTTAATTTGACCTCCCTGTTGCAGGAGAACTTTCCTGCAATGCAGGAAATGTAAAACTTGAAGTATATTTGAAGTTTAAAAAGGCTTTCAAATTTCAGACCCCAAAAATGTCCATGTATTATAATAATCCACATACAAATTCACATTTCCTGTTGTTGCAGGATAATTTTCCTGCTGTAGCAAAATGGCTCAAATTAAGATCCTACATCTGTAACACACAAACATCATGACATGATACGCATACAACACACACGTGTCACTTCACACCTTGTATAGGACCAGCTGTTTGTTTGACAAGGAAAAATTAGGAAATAATGTGTGTGTGTGTCCCACTCCCAGCTGGCAATAGGACTTAATCGGTCACTTCCTGTGGCTCCTCCTCACCTCTCTCTCTCTTTTGTCCTCTCAGAAGTTGCAGTGTGTGTGTGAGCACAATACCTGTGGGGAGAGCTGTAATGAGTGTTGCCCCGGCTACCACCAGGAACCGTGGCAACCGGGAACCCTCTCCAACGGCTACACATGCGAGAGTAAGCTGCACTTGGTCTTTTTGGGCCTAAGGGGAAATAAGTCTAAACCTTATCTTAAGTAGAAGACCATACTGTACATGTTTGCTTTGGGTTGTCGCTTAGTAAATAAAGACAACGGAATTACATGCTGGATTTAGACTTGATTTAAAGTGTGCCAGATCAGATAAAATAACTCTCACGCTTTTCAATTAAATCCACTTGCATGTTTCACTTATTCGTTGACACACATGAAAGAGGTTCTTGTTTCCTGTCCCTCTGGTGAATTCCATGAGACACTTTTGAAGGAATTCAAGCATTTTAATATCAATAGATGTGAAGCAGAGTTAGCTACTGTACGGGCTTTTACAAGCTTTTTATGTAAATGTCATATTTGATATCATCATATCTCAGCTGTTTCAGCACCTTAATGAAATTGCACATACCGTGTTTACTCAAAGTACAGAATAAAATAAAAACTTGTGTGAACAGTATGCATACACTGAGTGTACATAACATTAGGAACACCTGCTCTTTCCTTGACGTAGACTGACCAGGTGAATCCAGGTGAAAGCTATGATCCCTTTTAGACAGTTGAGACATGGATTGTGTATGTGTGCCATTCAGAGGGTGAATGGGCAAGACAAAATATTTAAGTGTCTTTGAACAGAGTATGGTAGTAGGTGCCAGGCGCACCGGTTTGAGTGTGTCAAGAACTGCAACGCTGCTGGGTTTTTCACGCTCAACAGTTTCCAGTGTGTATCAAGAATGGTCCACCACCCAAAGGACATCTAGCCAACTGTGGGAAACATTGGAGTCAACATGGGCTCCAATGCTTGTAGTCCATGCCCCGACGAATTGAGGCTGTTCTAAGGGCAAAACGGGTGCTACTCAATTTGGGAAGGTGTTCCTAATGTTTTTCACACTCATGTTTTCTTAATATAAATTATCCTTTCACTACTCTCACATTTAAAGGTAGACTCAGCGATATGACGTTAGTGCACAAAATAAACAGCATAGTGGGTCAATTTCCGCAACAACTAGGAGCAGTGAAGCACGAGGCTAAACTTCTCAGCTGTTTTGGTCCCGTACCTACCACGCTCTAACAGTGTGAAGCGAACCCATGCACATGCACAGATACTGTGTGTGATCGTGTGAGAGCAAAGTCTTGCATCTCGCTCATCGCAATATCTGAGTCTACCTTTAAGATGCATTAGTAGTTATCTGAGCTATTTAATATTCTCCTCCACTAGAATGTAACTGCCACGACAAGGCCGAGGACTGCTATTACAACCAAACTATGGACGACCACAAGATGAGCATGAACTTGCATGGTCACTTCCATGGCGGGGGTGTGTGTATCAATTGTACCCAGAACACGGCCGGTGTCAACTGTGAGACCTGCGCAGATGGCTTCTACAGACCCAGCGAGGTACTGTCCCCGTAATCCGATGCCCTCTTTGTGTCCCTATGGTCCCCGTAATCCAATCCATCAATATGGTCCCTGTTTCCTGAGGACCCCCCTGGTCTTCCTTTGTGTCCCCGCCTAGTGGCGTAAGCCTTTCTGTGCACTGTTGTGTACATTCCTATTGTCTGTGATTGGACAATAAAATCTGTGTGTGTGTATGTGGGCCTGATTACAAACACATTCTAGTTTTGGTTCTGTGGCTGTGGCTCAACGAAAGATAATGGAGTTTTGTGTTACTGTGTCCTCCTAGAATGACTGTAGAGAGGAACTATATTGGTGTGATGGCCCTTGCTTGGATGGATGAATAGCGATTTTAAACTTTTAATTGCAGTGTGTACCTTGTGTGGAATGTGAATGGTCATTGTGTATTGGTTTCCTCCTGGGTGTGTGTGTGTGTGTGTGTGTGTGTGTGTGTGTGTGTGTGTGTGTGTGTGTGTGTGTGTGTGTGTGTGTGTGTGTGTGTAGGTGTCGCCCTACGATGAGAACCCATGTGTGGAGTGTGGCTGTGACATGAGGGGGTCTTTGACTCCTGCCTGCATCAGAGATGACAACCACGCCAAGCTGGAGAAAGGTACAAACACGGAACTATAATGTACTGTGCCTGTGCTAACTGCACTATGCTAACTGTGCTGTATTGAATGTGCTAACTGGACTATGCTAACTGTGCAGTAGTGACAGTGCTAACTGGACTATGCTAACTGTGCTGTATTGACTGTGCTAACTAGACTAAGCTAACTGGACTATGCTAACTGTGCTGTATTGACTGTGCTAACTGTGCTGTATTGACTGTGTTAACTGGACTATGCTAACTGTGCAGTAGTGACAGTGCTAACTGGACTATGCTAACTGTGCTGTATTGACTGTGCTAAATAGACTAAGCTAACTGGACTATGCTAACTGTGCTGTATTGACTGTGCTAGCTGGACAATTACATTTACGTCATTTAGCAGACGCTCTTATCCAGAGCGACTTACAAATTGGTGCATTCACCTTATAGCGTGCGGAGGAGCGGGGTGACGTGAGAGAACTTGGGAAGGTTGAACACCAGACGGGCTGCTGCATTCTGGATGAGTTGTAGGGGTTTAATGGCACAGGCAGGGAGCCCAGCCAACAGCGAGTTGCAGTAATCCAGACGGGAGATGACAAGTGCCTGGATTAGGACCTGTGCCGCTTCCTGTGTAAGGCAGGGTCGTACTCTCCGAATGTTGTAGAGCATGAACCTACAGGATCGGGTCACCGCCTTGATGTTAGCGGAGAACGACAGGGTGTTGTCCAGGGTCACGCCAAGGCTCTTCGCACTCTGGGAGGAGGACACAACAGAGTTGTCAACCGTGATGGCGAGATCATGGAACGGGCAGTCCTTCCCCGGGAGGAAGAGCAGCTCCGTCTTGCCAAGGTTCAGCTTGAGGTGGTGATCCGTCATCCATACTGATATGTCTGCCAGACATGCAGAGATGCGATTCGCCACCTGGTTATCAGAAGGGGGAAAGGAGAAGATTAGTTGTGTATCGTCAGCGTAGCAATGATAGGAGAGGCCATGTGAGGATATGACAGAGCCAAGTGACTTGGTGTATAGCGAGAATAGGAGAGGGCCTAGAACTGAGCCCTGGGGGACACCAGTGGTGAGAGCACGTGGTGCGGAGACAGCTTCTCGCCACGCCACTTGGTAGGAGTGAGCCGCGCCGGAGATGCCCAGCTCGGAGAGGGTGGAGAGGAGGATCTGATGGTTCACAGTATCAAAGGCAGCAGACAGGTCTAGAAGGACAAGAGCAGAGGAGAGAGAGTTAGCTTTAGCAGTGCGGAGAGCCTCCGTGACACAGAGAAGAGCAGTCTCAGTTGAATGACCAGTCTTGAAACCTGACTGGTTTGGATCAAGAAGGTCATTCTGAGAGAGATAGCAAGAGAGTTGGCTAAAGACGGCACGCTCAATAGTTTTGGAAAGAAAAGAAAGAAGGGATACTGGTCTGTAGTTGTTGACATCAGAGGGATCGAGTGTTGGTTTTTTGAGAAGGGGTGCAACTCTCGCTCTCTTGAAGACGGAAGGGACATAGCCAGCGGTCAAGGATGAGTTGATCAGCGAGGTGAGGTAGGGGAGAAGGTCACCGGAGATGGTCTGGAGAAGAGAGGAGGGGATAGGGTCAAGCGGGCAGGTTGTTGGGCGGCCTGCAGTCACAAGTCGCAAGATTTTATCTGGAGAGAGAGGGGAGAAAGAAGTCAAAGCATAGGGTAGGGCAGTGTGAGCAGGACCAGCAGTGTCATTTGACTTAACAAACGAGGATCGGATGTCGTCAACCTTCTTTTCAAAGTGGTTGATGAAGTCATCCACAGAGAGGGAGGAGGGGGGGGGGGAGGAGGATTCAGCAGGGAGGAGAATGTGGCAAAGAGCTTCCTAGGGTTAGAGGCAGATGCTTGGAATTTAGAGTGGTAGAAAGTGGCCTTAGCAGCAGAAACAGATGAAGAAAATGTAGAGAGGAGGGAGTGAAAAGATGCCAGGTCCGCAGGGAGTCTAGTTTTCTTCCATTTCCGCTCAGCTGCCCGGAGCTCTGTTCTGTGAGCTCGCAATGAGTCATCAAGCCACGGAGCTGGAGGGGAGGACCGAGCCGGCCGGGAGGATAGGGGACATAGAGAGTCAAAGGATGCAGAAAGGGAGGAGAGGAGGGTTGAGGAGGCAGAATCAGGAGATTGGAGGGAGAAGGATTGAGCAGAGGGAAGAGATGATAGGATGGAAGAGGAGAGAGTAGCGGGAGAGAGAGAGCGAAGGTTGCGGCGGCGCATTACCATCTGTGTAGGGGCAGAGTGAGTAGTGTTGGAGGAGAGCGAGAGAGAAAAGGATACAAAGTAGTGGTCGGAGACATGGAGGGGAGTTGCAGTGAGATTAGTAGAAGAACAGCATCTAGTAAAGATGAGGTCAAGCGTATTGCCTGCCTTGTGAGTAGGGGGGGACGGTGAGAGGGTGAGGTCAAAAGAGGAGAGGAGTGGAAAGAAGGAGGCAGAGAGAAATGAGTCAAATGTAGACGTAGGGAGGTTGAAATCCCCCAGAACTGTGAGGGGTGAGCCATCCTCAGGAAAGGAACTTATCAAGGCGTCAAGCTCATTGATGAACTCTCCAAGGGAACCTGGAGGGCGATAGATGACAAGGATATTAAGCTTAAATGGGCTAGTGACTGTGACAGCATGGAATTCAAATGAGGAGATAGACAGATGGGTTAGGGGAAAAATTGAGAATGTCCACTTGGGAGAGATGAGGATTCCTGTGCCACCACCCCGCTGACCAGATGCTCTCGGGGTATGCGAGAACACATGGTCAGACGAGGAGAGAGCAGTAGGAGTAGCAGTGTTTTCAGTGGTAATCCATGTTTCCGTCAGCGCCAAGAAGTCGAGGGACTGGAGGGTAGCATAGGCTGGGATGAACTCTGCCTTGTTGGCAGCAGAACGGCAGTTCCAGAGGCTGCCTGAGACCTGGAACTCCAGGTGGGTGGTGTGTGCAGGGACCACCAGGTTAGAGAGGCAGCAGCCACGCGGTGTGAGGCGTTTGTGTAGCCTGTGTGGAGAGGAGAGAACAGGGATAGGCAGAGGCATAGTTGACAGGCTGCAGCAAATGGCTACAATAATGCAGAGGAGATCGGAATGAAATGAACTAAACATCTGGGAAAGGAGAGAGCGGGGCCTCCCTCACCACAACTCCCAAATATAACTCTCCCAACTTCCACTTCAGAAACTATAGTTGTTTCAACTGAAAACACCCGAATATAACTCTCCCAACTTCCACTTTAGAAATTATAATTGTTGTAAACTACAGCGGTTCAATGTTTCTAGGAATAGACTCTAACTTACTTTATTCAGCTAGCTAACTTGGTACAGTATTCTTCCATGAAAACCGCCCAGGGCACCGTATCCTATGACGCCATAGCTAACTAGCATGCTAGCATCCAATAACACACGGTTTAGCACCAATACTTGGTTACAACAAACTACCAATAGTGTGTTAACACACTAAACAGATAATTCGTGTCCGTGTCTAGTTCCTTTCATAACGCAGCAATAATTAAACGTTGGCTAGCTAGCACAAAGTCAGTCATGCTAGCTACACAAGTGGACTACACATCTCGAATGTTCAGAAAGGGAAGCTTTATGTTGCAAAATTCTCATTGACTAAAATTATATTGTATTTAGCTGCTACAGTACTGCTAGCTGGTAGTGTTGGCTAGCTAGCAATGGCTGTGGTGTTGACTTTGTTTGAAAAACGGCGTCGCTGCGAACGAATGTAGCTGGCTAAAATGATATTGTATTTAGTTGCTACAGTACTGCTAGCTGGTAGTGTTGGCTAGCTAGCAATGGCTGCTGTGTTGACTTTGTTTGAAAAACGGCGTCGCTGCGAACGAATGTAGCTGGCTAAAATTATATTGTATTTAGTTGCTACAGTACTGCTAGCTGGTAGCATTGGCTAGCTAGCAATGGCTGCGGTGTTGACTTTGTTTGAAAAACGGTGTCGCTGCGAACGAATGTAGCTGGCTAAAAGGATATTTTATTTAGTTGCTACAGTACTGCTAGCTGGTAGTGTTGGCTAGCTAGCAATGGCTGCGGTGTTGACTTTGTTTGAAAAACGGCGTCGCTGCGAATGAATGTAGCTGGCTAGCTAACCTCGATAGTTTCTCTATACTACACCTTTATCTTTGATACAAATACAACTATGTAGCTAGCTAACATTACACTAATCAAATCGTTCCGTTGTAATGTAATGTGTCATATTACCTGCGGAGCGAAGTACAGCATGACTACTCACCTCGCCTGCCGCTCACCTTGGAACAATGCTAACTGTGTTGTATTGACTGTGCTAGCTGGACAATGCTAACTGTGCTGTATTGACTGTGCTAACTGGACAATGCTAACTGTGCTGTATTAACTGTGCTAACTTAACTGGTCTATGCTAACTGTGCTGTATTGACTGTGCTAACTGGACTATGCTAACTGTGCTGTATTGTCTGTGCTGTGCAGGTCTGAACCCAGGCCAGTGTCTGTGTAAAGAGGGCTTTGCAGGTGAGCGCTGTGAACGCTGTGCCTTTGGCTACAAGGACTTCCCCCTGTGTTCACGCTGTGAGTGCAGTCTGGAAGGCAGCTTCAACATCGACCCCTGCACAGAGTGCATCTGCAAGGTAACACTGGGGTAATATAGGGTAACACTTGCATGATGAGTAACCTTGCCTGAAGACCTGAAGACTTGCGTTAGCTCCCTGAGCTAATGCCTAGGTTTTAGCTCAACAGGCTAAGACAGTTTTGTGCTCATTGTCCCTGAATGTTCCTACCAAACTAATCACCCTAACCTGATCTTCTCCACTGTGTGTGTGTGACTTAGGAGAACGTGATGGGGGCCAACTGTGACCTGTGTAAGCAGGGTTTCTACAACCTGGAGGACCGTAACCCAGAGGGATGCACAGAGTGTTTCTGCTTCGGTGTGTCTGACGTGTGTGAGAGTTCACCCTGGTCTTTGTCTCAGGTAACACACTGCAACACCCACATCCAAATATACCCTCATACACACATCCATTTAATTACCTAGTTGTTCCTTTGGACAAGAATATCCATAATATGCAGCAACCAACTCCAATGGTTCCACATCGTTTTGTTGGGAGCCTTTAAACTCTTTGATACTGTAGAACTCAATAACACATAACCAGTAAATTGGATCTGCCTGTGATGTTCTCATGACAAATGTATTGAAGAAGTTTTCTCCTGGCCCATAGACTGTTCACTCCAATGGATGGCTCCTTCCAACCCAAAGCGTCTCCATCTACACGGCACCCCTCACTGATGACGACAACAACCTCATTGTCCCCAGCATCACCATGATCCAGTCGTACCGTTTTGTGTCTACCTGGGCCGCCCCGGAGGGTTTTCTGGGAAACAGGGTAAGAGTTTTGCTAACATACAGTATACTGTTCCTATGCCACCTACACTAAACTCTCACCTATGGAGTTCCCGTATTCCTTCTGAGCTCGAAGTTGTCTGTCACAGTGACATGTCCAGCTAGCTAATGACCTGCATGTATTAGCTTGGGACAAATTGATTTCACAATCCCCATAGGAGGGAGGAAATAGACCTCTGTTCTCCCTGTAGTTTTCTCTCTCTGTCTCTCTTGCTACTGTATTTCTCTCTTTTTCACTCTCCTCTCTCTCTTCTCTTTCTCTCCCTCATTTTCTCTACCTGAAAACTACAATATTTCCGCTCGTCCTTTGTAGTCCCCCTCTTCTTTCCTCCCACTGTGTGTTAATACAGGGTGACCTGTAATTATAGTCAAGTAGGGCCGGGTCCTGTGATGTTGGAACGGTACAGAGAAATATCGAAGAGCCCTCACTGCTGCTCGATCATCCTATTTTTCCAACTTAAAAAATGTATATTTGATACTGTCGCAAAGCTAACTAAAAAGCAGCATCCCCCAAGAGAGGATGCCTTTCACTTCAGCAGTGATGAATTCATGAAGATCATGATCATTAGAATGCAAACTACAGACTCCTCTTTGAATCTGCGTATTTCTCCAAAGCTCAGCTGTCTTGAGTCTGCACAAAACTGCCAGGACCTAGGATCAATGGAGACGCTCAAGTTTTTTAATCCTGTATCTCTTGACACATTCATGAAAATAGTCATGGCCACTAAACCTTCAAGCTGCATACTGGACTGGAAGGGTTGGTGTGATGTGTGACCCAGGTGCGGTACAGGATAGACATTAGGCAGAGATGGTGAAACAAAGATCTTTACTGGTGGTCCCGAAGCCAGGATACAAAATAACGGACTTAACACGATAAAAGAAAGGTGGCGCAAATAAGTCTCCAAAAACAGGCTGACAGCCAAAATACGAAATAGTAACTACGACTGAAATAATAAAGAAACAGGGAGAACACTCGAGTACCTGTACATACTTTCCCGATCAAACACTGATTAGTACTGCTGAGCATAGAGAAACTAGCAGAGACAACTGAGTATGGGAAGTGAGGGCATAAATACACAGGTGAACAGGTAGACACAGGTGACACCAATAGGATCATGATTAGTCCAGACTGTGAGTGAGGAGGTGCCTAAGGTTGTCGGAGGAGGACACCTAGTGGGGATCACTCCAGAACTGCGACACCCTCCGGTAACACTGGACCTTATTCCAACTAAACTACTGAAAGAGCTACTTCCTGTGCTTGGCCCTCCTATGTTGAACATAATAAATGGCTCCCTATCCACTGGATGTGTACCAAACTCACTAAAAGTGGCAGTGATATAGCCTCTATTGAAAAATCCAAACCTTGACCCAGAAAATGTAAAAAAACTATCGACCTATATCGAATCTCCCATTCCTCTCAAATCTTTTAGAAAAAGCTGTTGTGCAGCAACTCACTGCTTTCCTGAAGACAGAAAATGTATACGAAACAGTCAGGTTTTAGACCCCATTGAGACCGCACTCGTGAAGGTGGTAAATTACCTTTTAATGGCGTCAGACCAAGGCTCTGCATCTGTCCTCGTGCTCCTAGACCTTAGTGCTGCTTTTGACACCATTGATCACCACATTCTTTTGGAGAGATTGGAAACCTTAATTGGTCTATGAGGACAAGTTCTTGTCTGGTTTAGATCTTATCTGTCGGAAAGATATCAGTTCGTCTTTGTGGATGGTTTGTCCATTGTAAGTTTCGGTGTTCCTCAAGGTTCCGTTTTAGGACCACTATTGTTTTCACTATATATTTTACCTCTTGGTGATGTCATTCGGAAACACAATGTTAACTTTCATTGCTATGCGGACGACACACAGCTGTACATTTCGATGAAACATGGTGAAGCCCCAAAATTGCCTACCCTGGAAGCCTGTGTTTCAGACATAAGGAAGTGGATGGCGGAATTTTCTTTACTTTTAAACTCGGACAAAACAGAGATGCTAGTTCTAGGTCCCAAGAAACAAAGAGATCTTCTGTTGGATCTGACAATTAATCTTAATGGTTGTACAGTCGTCTAAAAAAAAACTGTGAAGGACCTCGGCGTTACTCTGGACCCTGATCTCTCTTTTGACAAACATATCAAGAATATTTCAAGGACAGCTTTTTTCCATCTTCGTAACATTGCAAAAATAAGAAACGTATTGTCCAAAAATTATGCAGAAAAGCTAATCCATGCTTTTGTCACTCCTAGATTAGACTACTGCAATGCTCTACCCTCCGGCTACCCAGATATAGCACTAAATAAACTTCAGTTAGTGCTAAACACGGCTGCTAGAATCTTGACTAGAACCAAACAATTTGATCATATTACTCCAGTGCTAGCCTCTCTACACTGGCTTCCTGTTAAGGCTAGGGCTGATTTCAAGGTTTTACTGCTAACCTACAAAGCATTACATGGGCTTGCTCCTACCTATCTCTCCAATTTGGTCCTGCCGTACATACCTACACGTATGCTACGGTCACAAGACGCAGGCCTCCATATTGTCCCTAGAATTTCTAAGCAAACAGCTGGAGGCAGGGCTTTCACCTATAGAGCTCAATTTTTATGGAATGGTCTGCCTATCCATGTGAGAGACGCAGACTCGGTCTCGACCTTTAAGTCTTTACTGAAGACTCATCTCTTCAGTAGGTCCTATGATTGAGTGTAGTCTGGCCCAGGGGTGCGAAGGTGAACGGAAAGGCACTGGAGCGACAAACCGCCCTTGCTGTCTCTGTCTGGCCGGTTCCTGTCTCTCCATTGGGATTCTCGGCCTCTGACCCTACTACGGGGCTGAGTCACTGGCTTACTGGTGCTTTCCATGCCGTCCCTAGGAGGGGTGCATCACTTGAGTGGGTTGAGTCACTGATGTGATCTTCCTGTCCGGTTTGTCGCCCCCTCGGGCTCATGCAGTGGAGGATCTTTGTGGGCTATACTCAGCCTTGTTTCAGGGTAGTAGGTTGGTGGTCAGTTGATATCCCTCTGGTGGTGTGGGGGCTGTGCTTTGGCAAAGTGGGTGGGGTTATATCCTGCCTGGTTGGCCCTGTCCGGGGGTATCGTCGGACAGGGCCACAGTGTCTCACCTCTCTAGGTTTCTTCCTAGGTTTCCGCCTTTCTAGGGAGTTTTTCTTAGCCACCATGCTTCTACATCTGCATTGCTTGCTGTTTGGGGTTTTAGGCTGGGTTTCTGTATAGCACTTTGTGACATCTGCTGATGTAAAAAGGGCTTTATAAATCAAATTTGATTGATTTACTAATCGCTGAATCAATGAGGTTCCATTCGTTAGGACCCTGTTTTATATGTGTTCTACTGTACCCATTAGTCCCTAGAATTAGAATTAATGAATTAGAATGAGTCATTATTTCTGGCATGGCCTTAATATCTGGAGGAAGAGAGAAAAATAGAGGCAGAAATTATCCTTGTGGGCCTGATTTTACTTCAATATATAGTGTGACGAATTTCCACTATTGCATATTTCCTGTAGGTACTGTTTTGTTGAGTCTAACACATTCTTTCTTTTTACAATTTTCTCCTTTTCATTTTTTCCCATTGCTATTTGAAGCTGACATCGTACGGAGGGTTTTTGAACTACACTGTGGCCTATGATGTTTCAGTGGACAACGTGGACAATTCTCTGCCGTCACAGTTCGATTTGATTATTGAGGTAAGTTAATATTGTGCTAACTAGATAGGTATTCAACCTGGCTATGATATTAGCAGTGGAATGCAAGATTGTAAACCTAGTTTACAGTAAAAGAAACCCCTAGCCCCTAGACCAATATAGATTTGATTACCATTATGGAATCACCCGAATGTAAATCGAAATGTGTTGCTAACTGCCTTGTCTGGATGCGTCCCCAGGGGAACGGGAGGACCCTGCGCCAGACTCCCCCCAGGCAGCTCTTCCTGACGCCCCTGCGGGAGCAGCTTGTTTCCGTGGAGCTCCTACCGCAGGGCTTCGTAGACCTACACACAGGCCAGAGGGTTGACCGGGACGAGCTGATGACCGTACTGGCCGACGTGGCCGGACTGAGGATCAGAGGCCACCTCAATGCCAGCGCAGAGGGGGCACTCAGGTTGAGCACCGTATCTCTGGACATGGCAGACATCAGTGCTGCTAACCCAGTCCAGGCCCGGGATGTGGAGCAGTGTGAGTGCCCCTGGGGCTACTTGGGCACATCCTGTGAGGTAAACACCCAGGTCATGTGACGGTGGCCAGGTTAATACAGTTTACTACGGTATGTGTCTAGTCTAATTTGTTAATGACTTGAGCTGTGTCAGCATCCATTGTAAAAGCAAAGCGCATTATGCATTTCAGATGGCTAAGGTAGTTCAAGTTAGAAGAGCAACGGTGTTGTGGCTTCGGTTCTCACATAATCCACATATTTTAAATACGTGTTTACTATAGATCACTTCAGATAAACACAACTTCTAAATCGTGTCATACACTGAGTGTACAATACATTAGGAACACCTTCCCAATATTGAGTTGCACTCCCTGCTTTTACCCTCAGAACAGTCACAATTCGTCGGGGCATGGACTTTACAAGGTGTCAAAAGCGTTCCACAGGGATGCTGGCCCATGTTGACTCCAGTGCTTCCCACAGTTGTGTCAAGTTGGCTAGTTGGCTGGATGTCTTTTGGGTGGTGGACCATTCTTGATACACAAGGGAAACGGTTGCGCATGAAAAACCCTGTAGCGTTGCAGTTCTTGACACAAATCGGTGCAGCTTGGCACTACTACCATACCCCTTTCAAGCACTAAATCTTTGTCTGCCATCACCCCTTGAATGGCACACATACAATCATTGTCTAAATTACCTCAGGCTTCAAACATTTTTACCTGTCTTCTCCCTCTCATCTACACTGATTGAAGTTGATTTAACAATTGACATCAATAAGGGATCATAGCTTTCACCTGGATTCACCTGGTCAGTCTATGTCATGGAAAGTTGTTAAGGTTTTGTATACTCAGTGTATGTGCCACATAGTCTAAATACCTGTTGTTATTGAATGTGACTTTGGGTAAAAGTTACGGCTAAATTAGGATGTTATTTGTCTCTTTGTGTTTATAGTACTGTTCATCTGGATTCTATCGCGTCGGCGGGATCCTGTTCGGAGGCAACTGTCTCCAGTGTGAGTGTAACGATCATGCTACAGAATGTGACATCAACGGAGTCTGTCTGGTGAGTCTTTCCTATCTGTCCCACGTCATGTTTAGACAGCAGAGGGCCGGAGACGTAGGAATATGAAACATAGATATACCATACATCTATGGCTTGTTTGTGGGCTCTAAGCGTGATCGTATCTACTTCCACCACCATCTGTGTAAAATAAGGACATGGTCACATCCAACCGTTTATCTGACCCTAACATCTGCACTAGCTAACCTCTAAACTAGTCAGAGCTTCACTTCACAGTTGGAGGCTAAACCAATGAACAAACCCTCAGTATGAAGCTTCCTGGCTTGAGCTGTGTTTGTTGACAACCATATGATGGTCACTCTTCTGGCTGCGTCTGAAATGGCTTCTTTATTTCCTATACAGTGTACGACTTTTGGCTAGAGCCGACCATCCTATTCCCTATATAGTGCACTACTTTATAGTGAATAGCGTGCCATTTTGAGCTCTGTTTCAAATGAATTCCTCCCTCTATTGGATGACAAGTTAATCCTGAGTAATGCTGTGTTAGGTGTTTAAATGGCGTGTGGCAAAGCAATGATTATCCAATGGCTACTGCCAGGCATTCATTCTGTCAATATACAATGTAAATCAAAAGGCATGCTAAAGCTAGTAGCTACTACATTCAATTGCATTAGTGAAGATTCTTCACTTTGATTCGGTTAGGTTTAGCAGTTTGGTGCACTTAAAGGGATAGTTCACTTTTTCAAAGTTTTATCTTATTTTCGATTTACCTAGGGTGGTCATCCAACAGTTTTTTAAACTTTGATATAATCTAAAACTTTAAAAAGTGAACTATCCCTTTAACATGGCAGTGGAGGTTTTATCCGAAGACATTTTGGTTGCTATGGAGTGTATGGCAGTGTAAGGGCATGTGTGTCAGAGTAGGAAGAAGTTTAATCGGGACACTGTCGCCCTAAATCATTCCCCAGGACTGTACCCACAATACCACTGGGCCCCACTGTAACCAATGCCTTCCCGGTTACTATGGCGACACTTCAGAGGGCACCCCGGAGGACTGCCAGAGATGTGCCTGCCCGCTGATAGTGGCGACGAACAAGTGAGTGACTGTGCCAATGTGCCATTCATTCAGATTCTAGAAACCCTCTCCATGGTGATAGATAGGTCACATATGCGTGGGCGCTGGGTGGTGGAGAGTTTGGCCGTTACACACTGAGTGTACAAAACATTAGGAACAGCTTCCTAATATTGAGTTGCACCCCCTTTTGCCCTCAGAACAGCCTCAATTCGTCGGACTCTACAAGGTGTCGAAAGCGTTGCACAGGGATGCTGGATGTCCTTTGTGTGGTGGACCATTCTTTATACAAACTGTTGAGCATGAAAACCCCAGCAGCGTTGCAGTTCTTGACAAAACTAGTGCACCTGGCACCTACTACCATATCTCGTTCAAAGGCACTTAAATATTTTGGCTTGCCCATTCACCTTCTGAATGGCACACATACACAATCCATGTCTCAATTGTCTCAAGGCTTAAAAATCCTTCTTTAACCTGTCTCCTCCCCTTCATCTACACTGATTGAAGTGGATTTAACAAGTGACATCAATAAGGGATCATATCTTTCACCTGGATTAACCTGGTCAGTCTATGTCAAGGAAAGAGCAGGTGTTCTTAATGTTTTGTGCACTCAGTGTAGGTTCTTATGTCAACAACGAAATGTTTCAACTGCCCCAGATACTTTATTTCTTTATTTAAAAACAATTAGCTCTTTTGTGAATAGATACCAAGCATAAATATAGTGGTGGAACAATTTTAGTGGTGGAACTAAGGGGAGAGTTCTGCCCCCATACAATATGAAATGCTTAAAGTTGAAGAAAATACCTATATTAACACAAATCATAATAATAAAATCTGTAGTTCTTAGTGATACGTCATGTAGACTCCCCCTAACACTCCTGTCTTTTCACACTGCTGGTCTCTTCTTCAGTTTCAGCCCCACCTGTGTCCTGGAGGGCCCTGGGCAGGTGACATGTGACCAGTGCCAGCAGGGCTACACTGGGACTAAGTGTGAGAGGTATGTAGACCAAATGTTCTTAAACCTTTTCTTGTCTGTTTGACCTTCTCTTCACTTCTTAGACCTGTACTATATAATCAGATATATTTCACTTGTTGCTAAGTACATATTAGTAATTACACTTAACAGTTTGCATGGGGAAATATTTATTATAAGTTAAACTCAGTTACAGTATACACCGATACTAGTCTCAACCATTTCATTAATCGTATGATTAAGGTAATGTATTATGTGTTAATCTTTTAACTTTGACTTCTCCAGGTGTGCTAATGGTTACCATGGTGACCCGACGGTGGCAGGCCAGGAGTGTGTGGTGTGTGAGTGTAATGGTAACGTGGACTCCTGGGAGCCGGGCCACTGTGACACCAGCAGTGGTGTGTGTCTGAAGTGTCACAGCCACACCAGCGGAGACTACTGTGAGAGGTGCGAAGACGGCTACTACGGTGACGCCATCACTGCCAAGAACTGCCTGGGTAAGAGAGCTGTGATGATAATTATGATGATGACATTTGTTGTCCTTATAGAGGATTCTTCCACAGATCCCCACACAGTTACACATTTACTACAAGAAACACCCCTCACCTAGACTTGCAGTACATCTATAATATGTACCAAATCAGGTCACAGATTACACAGTGAGAATAGACAGGAAATAGACACTTTTGCTTGTTTCTGAGTAGCAGTTAGTCAGTCAGAGGAATGCTGAGTGAAGGACATGGCCAACCAACCAGAGATTAAATCTAAACTTTGACCTAGATCTGCTTCGTCATGTGTCAGACCTGTTCCTAACAATAAGGTCTGTTATGGGTCAGAGCCCGTATATAAGTGTCTCTGAATAGAGGTGTGCTGATCTGGGATCAGGTCCTCCCTGACCATGTAATCTCATTCGATCTGAGTGGCGCAGTGGTCTAAGGCACTGCATCGCAGTGCTAACTGTGCCACTAGAGATCCTGGTTCGAATCCAGGCTCTGTCGCAGCCGGCCGCGACCGGGAGACTCATGGGTGGCGCACAATTGGCCCAGGGTAGGGGAGGGAATGGCCGGCAGGGATGTAGCTCAGTTGATAGAGAATGGCGTTTGCAACGCCAGGGTTGTGGGTTTGATTCTCACGGGGGGCCAGTATAAAAAATAAATAAATATGTATTCACTAACTGTAAGTCGCTCTGGATAAGAGCGTCTACTAAAATGCTAAACTGATCCTAGATCAGCACTCTGATTCTGAGACGCTTCGTGAATACAGACATGTTACCTTAGGCACTGGGAGGCCAAAGTTCAATCCTTGCCGGGATACGAACAATTATGTATATAAACCCTGGATTGCTGATGCCGGGGTGGCAGGTAGCTTAGTGGTTAAGAGCGTTGTGCCAGTAATCGAAAGGTCGCTGGTTCTAATCCCCGAGCCGCCTAGGTGAAAAATCTGTCGATGTGCCCTTGAGCAAGGCACTTAACCCTAATTGCTCCTGTAAGTCGCTCTGGATAAGAGCGTCTGCTAAATGACTAAAATGTATTTGCCAATGAGAGGCTTTGAAGCCACCGGTCAGCCAGAAGGAGCAATCCTCCATAGGAATGAATGGAATTCTACAGTATTTCAATTAAATGGTTCATGAACAAAATGACATGAATTTTTTATTGTAGTGGGAACATTAGTACTTTCAAAAAAGTATTATTTAAGGAAAATGTTTTTATATATTTTTAATATTAAAATGTTAATGTTTAGCTCACATAATATAGTTTAAAAGTATGCATTAAGGTGTCTGTAATAGAATACATGTGTCAAAAACGAATGTAGACATTAATAAATGCATTTCTATAGCTTCCAAAATATTTGGTACTATATTTTTTATGGAGAGCGCCAAGATGGGGGCGTGGTGGCTTCAAAACAGCGCCCCCTGTCAGTCATTTAGTGTATACATAAATAATTAGTTAAGATATGGTATGGGACCTGGCCTCTCAAGTTAGTTTATGAACAGTTTATGAAGTCTTATAATAATTATCTGTAGCTTAATAATCCCCTTGGCATTTGGGTATGGTAATACTGCATCATTCTCAAACCTGGTTTTGTGACAATGTCTGCATACCACAACATTGAAAATGCATATACAGTATGTTATGAGAATAGGAATTTTATGTTCATAATGAGATAATAATAATAATAAGCCATTTAGCAGACGCTTTTATCCAAAGCGACTTACAGTCATGCGTGCATACATTTTTTTTGTGTATGGGTGGTCCCGGGGATCGAACCCACTACCTTGGCGTTACAAGCGCCGTGCTCTACCAGCTGAGCTACAGAGGATATGTGAAACTGGTAATGGATTCAGTCATCACCTAGAGTGGAGTTCATTTCACCATCAAACATGGTCAAAAATATTGTGATGGATGTGCAATTTTACTTCAAGTGTGTGTATTTCCTTTTCATGAAAGACAACTGTAGAAGAGCTCTTTATAATGGATAGGCTGACATCTAGGGAAAAATCGCAATACTGCAAGTATTGCGTATCTTCTTATTTTCACCTATTCAGCCTCCTTGAACTAAACTTTCTGAATTATTTTCCATGTCTGCATAATGTCTATACTACATGAAAAAAAATAGTATTTTATAATCAAAATGGCACTTTGAGAATTGTATGATTATTTTAGGATATATCTCTCCACTTACCGGTATTCTTTTCAACATAAAATTGGCGCATTAGTCCTGGTGTTATAAACATGTATGTTAACGACTATGTTTTACTCCTATTTCTCCACTATGTGTAGCTTGCGGTTGCCATGGAAACGGGTCGTACTCGGCCATGTGTGACCTGTTCACTGGACAGTGTACCTGCAAACCCAATGTGGTGGGAGATAAGTGTGACCAGTGTCAGGTATGTAGCCTGTATATCATTCTCTGTGCTCGGTTTCATATTATTTTCACAACTTCAAAAACTCACATACCATAGGGCCAAGAGTTTTTCTTACCAGAAAAAAACAATTGGCCCTAGTTATGGTCTATGGTCACGCCAAGAAAAACTCCAGGCCCTTCCTTCCACCCTCCTAGTCCATTTTCTGTGTAATTCCACCCTCCTCGCACACCTCTCTTTGGAATTAGTATTTGGAATTTGGAAAGGGATGCTAAGTTTCCAGCCCAGTCCATTGGAACGCTTAGTTCTCAGAGGGTGTCCAAGGTCTCCCGCTTCTTTCCTCCCTGCGTCCCGCTTTCCCACACTCGCCTTCCAATAGAGCCCAGCTGGTCGAAATGCAGTCCAATGTTTTGGATATATTCATTAGCACGATCAGATAATCTGTCTGCTCACACCCTGGCAAAGAGCGAGAGGGAAGACAGAGGGAGCAAGGGAAGATGGGAAGGAGGGAGAGAGAGAGGAGAGAGAGAGAGAGAGAGAGAGAGAGAGAGAGAGAGAGAGAGAGAGAGAGAGAGAGAGAGAGAGAGAGTGATATTATTTTGTTGCTTATTTAGAGCAGAGTTGGTTTCTTTGGTTGGGGGAGGGGTCTTTGGCTGGGCAAGGACTGTTAAAATGTAAGCAAAAGCTCATGAATTTAGAACATATTTATCTAGGGAGAACAGCAAGCAGTCTTGGGCTTCTCTCTCTTTCGATATGTTTGATTAATGTCTCTTGGCATCTAGTGTCTCTTGGCATCCTGCTACATGCTCTCTATCAAGGATACAGACAGAGTAATAAGCATATTTTACAGATGTAGGATCTTCATTTGAGCCAGTTTGCTACAGCAGGAAAATTATCCTGCAGCAAATGGAAATGTGAATTATTATGTGGATTATAAATCATGGACATTTTTGTAGGGGTTGCTACATTTTTTTGTAAGGGAAAATCAAGTCTGAAATTTCAAAGTGGAAATTACAAACTTCAGAAGCCTTTTTAAACTTCAAATACACTAGAAATTTAACATTTCCTGCAGCAGGGTGATCCGATTAAGATCCTACATCTGTATGTCTGGATATATTTGAGGGAAAATCAAGAAGACTTTCATAATTCCCACGGGGGGCCAGTAAAAAAAAAAAAAAAAAAAAAAAAAAAAATTTAAAATATGTATTCACTAACTGTAAGTCGCTCTGGATAAGAGCGTCTGCTAAATGACTAAAATGTAAATGTAAATGTAATAATTATGGAGTCAGGTGGTTAGCTGATGGAAGTTAGTAAAAATTGGTATTTTCTTCGGTGTGTTTTCCAGGTGGGCTTCCACAGTCTTCTCAGTGGACAGGGGTGCAGAGACTGCAACTGTAGCCAATCAGGATCTGTGTCCACAGCATGTGAGGAGGAGGGGTTGTGCCAATGCATCCCAGGGGTGGCCGGGGACAAATGTGACCGCTGTTACCATGGTTACTTCAACTACCAGGACAGCGGGTGTACACGTAAGGTCACAAACTTTAACAGACATATTCATTTGAGTTTCACTCTGATCTGATCTTAATTCTCTCTACACACCCCCCCTGCCCTCTCTCTATCTTTCTCTCTCTATTTCTGTTATTTTTCTCTCCTCTCCTCCATCAGAGTGTGAGTGTGCCCACACCCACGGAAACTGTAACGCAACGACAGGCGAGTGTATCTGCCCTCCCCACACCATAGGAGAGAAGTGTGAGCTGTGTGAGGAACGTCACTGGGGTCACGACACTGTAGCAGGCTGTAAGGTAAAACACACCTCTATAAACATTAAGGCTTTATAAGCCTTTATAAGGCCTACGTATGGTATTTTAAGGCCTACATAGATGCTTCATAAGTTATTAATAAGCACATTCCTATCATAATAAGTGTTCATAAAAGCTCATCTTTGCCCCTCTGTCCTTAGTCATGTGAGTGCAGTGAGGCCGGCAGTTCTGCCACCCAGTGTGACCTCACCAATGGGCAGTGCCTGTGCCGCCCGGAGTTCGCTGGGCAGAAGTGTGACCGCTGCACCATGGGCTACAGGGGCTACCCAGAATGCACGGCGTGCAACTGCAACATCAACGGCACCAGAGAGGAGTTATGTGATGAGGAACTGGGCCTGTGCAGCTGTGAGGCCCCAGGGAACTGTGTGTGCAAGGTACTACAACCGCTGTGAAAACTGGTTGAACAAACAAGCAGTAAACCCTTATGGCCTATGATAGTGTTGTCTTTTATTGTGTCCGTTCGAAGTATGTTGTCTGTTTTAATTTATTGGTCTGTGGTTGCCAGGACAATGTGGGCGGAGGAGGCTGTGATGAGTGTAAGAAGGGAACCTTCGGCCTATCTGGTCCTAACCCGGCCGGCTGCAGCCCCTGTTTCTGTTTCGGGGTCTCCTCAGACTGCGAGGAGCTCAGTGGGATGGTCCGTGTACCGGTGAGTAAAGTCTATCAAAACTCAACTTGGGGTCTGTTCAGTGAGGTAAACGTTACAGAAGGTTCAGATAGAAATGCATCATGTAGAACATATATTACTTATCTGTCGGATAGAATAGTGAATCGTGTCTGCTCTATTCATTCTATCTCTATATGCAACGTTCTGAACAGGATTCCTGTTTTAGTCCCGCCCATCTGCTTCCTCTACAGATGGGTGGCTATGCTAACAGGATAGAGAAACTGTCCGTCACTGTCTGAAGGGGTTGAGCAGCCTTCACTCCTCCACCTCTGTATGAAATGACGGCACATTTTTCAAACAAAATACTTTTTCTTTATTTTCTCCGTTTGGGATGGTAATACCTTTGTTTGGTAATGCTCTTATATTCTTCAAATAACAAGCATTAGTATAACACCTTGGCTTCTATTTGGCTGGGTTATGTCAAAATCGTCTTCTCTGGCTCGTTTATAACCTTGTAGCCAAGTAACAAACGGTAACAAAAGTCAAATCTAAAGATTCATGCTTGGAGCCTGGCGTTTTTCCTGATAATGTGTCATGGCCAGGAAGTTATCATCTACAAGTTATTTGGAAGTTGTAAGCTATTTGGTCAGGTCATGTAGATCCAGAGTAACTATTAGTAGTATAGTAACTATTCAGCTGTATACTATTTCTACTCTCCTCATCTGTGTCTGGATGAAGAAAAGTATCTGTATCCTCATTATTCTTGAGTGAACTGAATCCTCCTAATTAACTTCATTTTAATTGGGCACAATAGAGAGGAAATGAAATGCCCAGACAGATGCCTAAACAGGATGCCCATCTGTTGTGGGCCAGCCGCTTAGTGATGCCACGTACGGTGCCTGCTGCTCGCAGCCTGGTGTGCCCGCTGGGTGTCCGGCTCAAGGACGCACGTGCCCTGTGTAGCATTTAGCGTGGGCACACGGAGGGAGCACCCCCCCCCCGACCCCCCAGGCAGAGGAATCTGAAAGGACCCCAGATGTAGCTAGCCAGGGCTATTTATTTCCTGGTCCTAATTAGTGAAAAGAGATGGCACAGCTGAGCTGGCGGTAGACCTACTTGTGATGGTGTGAGGAGAAAGTGTGGTACTTAATTGATTGGGAAAAGCTTACAATAAACTGAATGACACGATAATGAGATCTCTTGATATGAAGCAAATATGTGTGTCTGCATCTGCGTCTTTGTGTGTGTGTGCGCGGGCACGTCTATGCACATGCTCATGCATTGGTGTATATTTACCGGTCCATACAGATCACACTGGGGTCTGAACCAGAGCTGCTGCGTGTGGTCAGTCAGAGTGACCTCCAGGGCAGTGTGGAAGGGGTCTACTACCAGACCCCAGACATGCTGCTGGACACCAGGGAGATAGAGAGCCCCACCCTGGCTGGACCCTACTACTGGAGGCTTCCCAAACACTACCAGGGAAATAAGGTGTGTATCTCAGACCTCTGTTACTTGTGTGTCTGTTAGAGAGCGATGCAAAATTATAAACATACAAATACTAACAAATCCTCTTCCATATTCTCTGATTAGTTGTTGTCGTATGGAGGGAAGCTGTCCTACATGGTGGCGTTCTATGCTCTGGATGGGGCCGGCCTGGCCAACTACGAGCCTCAGGTCCTGATGAGGGGGGGTCATCTGGGAAAGAAGGTTATCTACATAGATATGCCCGCCCCTGACAACAGGGTCAAAACCCGCCAGGACGTCCCACTGACTGAGGTAAGGAGGAGACTAGAAACAATACCTAAAGCTGGACTAGTTTGACTACCAAGGGTTCGAACCCATATGTCCTGCATGCTACAAGACTGTGTTATCCGACTGAGCTAAAGCCTACAAATCCTACTAATAAATGAATATAATTCAATCTGCTTTGATTTCTCTTGATCAGCACAAGTGGAAGTATTTCAACTCTGTGTCGGAGAAAGCTGTGAGTCATTCTGACTTCATGGCGGTCCTGAGCAACATCGAGTACATCACCATCAAGGCCTCGTATGGTACAGGACTGCAGCAGAGCAGGTTAGCACACACACACAAACAAAACGAGTTTTGTGTCAACACTAGAAAGTGACTATGATATCAATATTGTATTTGTCTTTCACTAGAATCTCCAATATCACCATGGATACGGCCCTAGAGGCGGAGGAGGGGTTGGAGGTTATGGAGGTGGCATGTCTGATAGAGACCTGTGAGTGTCCAGCTGGCTACGCTGGACTGTCCTGCCAGGTCAGACAGATTTCCACCCCAAAAACAACACGATTGACTATTTACTACTTCTTACTACTGTGTTTTAGTCTATTATTTAATTTCCTCTCTGTCATCGGTGTGTGTTTGTGGTGTGTGTAGGAGTGTGCTCCCGGCTACTACCGCCAACCAGTGACTGATCTGAACCTGCGGGGGAAGAGACCCCTGATCCAGCCCTGTGTGCCCTGCCAGTGTAACAACCACAGCCAGGCCTGTGACCTGGACACAGGAGAATGCCTGGGCTGCCAGCACAACACAGCAGGCGAGCACTGTAACATGTGTGGCTCAGGGTACTATGGGAACGTGAAAGGCTCCATCAGTGACTGCTCTCTATGTGCCTGCCCCCTCAAAGAGAACAGGTACATCTCTCACTCTCCTCCTGTCAGTCACGCATTCTGATAAGTGACTTGTTGAATTTTGAGTTGAAATGCTAATTTCTCATTCCACACATAGTGTGTCTTTTGAAGAGATAGTCCAAGTATTGATTTCACACTAGCACATATTCAGTCTCATAAGAAATTGGTTTTCCTTAGAATGATGAAGCTGTTTGGCTATAGTCTAGTTCAAGGGGATTTATGAATGGGTTTTGGTAATACCAGGCCTAGCATGGGCTGAAGGATAGTTGGTATAGCACTGTCTGAAGTGTGTGTGTGTGTTGTGTTGTGGTTAGCTTCAGTCCTCTGTGCTCTGAGATGGTGGGAGACTCCGTGTAACCCGCAAGGGGTTACGAGGGACGATACTGTGAAGTGAGAGAGTATACACAGTACTGTCTCCGAGTGGCGCAGTGGTTAAGCACGCTTCGCAGTGTAGCTGTGCCCTAGATATTGGTTCGATCAGCTCGTCGTAGCGCCGCGACCGGGAACCATGGGCGGCGCGCACAATTGGCCAGGGCCAGGTAGGGGAGGATTGCCGGGATGTCTCAGTTGTAAGCAGCGTCTGCAACGCCTGGGGTTCGATATATGGCCTAATGTACGCTACTGTTGAGAGGTAAGAGGTAGTAGAACTACACAGCTACTGTGGAGGTAAGAGAGAGTACTACACAGCTACTGTGGAGGTAATAGAGAGTACTACACAGCTACTGTGGAGGTAAGAGAGAGTACTACACAGCTACTGTGGAGGTAAGAGAGAGTACTACACAGCTACTGTGGAGGTAAGAGAGTACTATACAACCACTGTGGAGGTAAGAGAGAGTACTATTCAGCTACATTGTCACCTGTTGGATCTCAGCAAGTGTCTCTGTCACTAGAAGACATCGATACACCTCAGATGGAGACGTTTTATTCTCTCTGTTTCTCTCTCTCCCTCTCTTCCTCTATCTCTCTATTACATGATTTCTCCCTCTCACTGTTTCTTTGCCCTCCCCCCGCCTCTCTCTCCCTTTCTCTCAGGTGTTCAGTGGGTTACTATGGGAACCCATCTGCTCCAGGAGAGAAGTGTGAGGCGTGTCAGTGTAGTACTGCAGGTTCTCTCCATCTAGTGTGTGACTCTCTGAAGGGCCAGTGTGAATGTAAGGCCGGGGTTAGGGGACACCTGTGTGACCAGTGTGAGGCGAGACACGTCCTGGACGGGGACCAGTGTGTCTGTGAGTACCAACCAACCCACACACACAAACATTTTAAATACTTTATTTGAATACACCAATCAAATTTACAAAAAAAGAATCCAAACATTTCAAAGGTCCCTGTATGCATGGCACTCAAGGGTACAGAAAGCACCTCCTTCTCCAAACAGCTAGGCTGCCCACGAAAGCTGAAACAGAGCAGTACCTAGCCAATTGCTTTGCCCTAGTTTTTGTCAGGCCCGCAATCTGGAGGCCACGCACTGCAAGCCTGTGTACGTGGCCGAGACTGCCGAATATCAGCGCTACCAGCTTTCACCTCCACCCGAGGCAGTCCAAGCGTGCCACGAGGGGCTGGTACATAAGCAGCTTCTCGGCAAAGGCCTGCTCCACGTAGCCGTCAAATGAGCAGCCCACTTCCAAAATGAGCACCTCCCTCTGGCCTCCCCCACAACAACAATATCTGGTGTATTTGGCACACAGGAAAACACATCATCATCAACATCAAACCAGTGTAAATCCACTCAATATTTGGGACATCTAAACACCCCCCTCTTTGGCTCAGGAAGACAACGTCATGTGTGGTGTGTGTGTTTAAGCATAGCCACTTTCTCACCACTTGAACAGTTTTGTTATTAATTTCCCTCAGAACCTTCTCTGGGATATGACATTTGCAATCAGATATTGAATCTTTGCAAGGGCCACCTGTCTCACAGCTTCTAGCTTCATTACCACAGGCAGAGTTGAAATGTCAATCAGATCAAGCCTGGTTGAATACTCATGGACGAGCTCCTCAACTTGTTCCCCCCACTCGCCAGCAACATTAAACATATGTCCAAGATAACTATATGTTTCGTGACGAGAGTACATTAGTGTAAATGTTGGGGGCTTATCAGTTTTAGACTTGTACTAGTGGTTACCTCTGCTGCATCTTTCATAGAATACACACACACACTGCAATAACGTCCGAATTGAAATCTGATATCCTAAACTCCTTCCTCTCCCTCCCTCCCTCCCTACTCCCTCTCCCCTCAGCGTGTGATGATAAGTGTACGGGGGACCTCCTGGATGACCTGGATGCAGTAGAGCGCTCCTTCCTGTCTGTCAACCTGACCGGGGTCATCCTGTCCCCCTACAACACACTGGTCAGCCTGGAGAACGACACACGAGAGGTCAAGGTAAAAGAGGGGTCATATTATACCTCTCTGTCTAGGAGGTCATGAACTCAGCTGTTTAATCCCCTGTGTTAAATTCAGAAGTACTCAGGACACATTCAATGAGAGAAAGACTGTTGTAACACACTTGTCCTAATTTCTCTCCTAGAATCTGATGTCTTGGGAGAGGAGCCCAGCATATCACCTGAATAGGGCGGAGGAGGACTTGACAAATCTCACCCAGGACATAGACGGACTGCTACGGAAGGCTACAGGGCTGTCTGCTGATGGAGAGGAAGTGGCCCAGTCCACAGAGAACAGCGTTACCCAGGGGGCCGAGCTTCTGGAGTACATCACCACCATTCACACTGCCATACAAGGTTCAGCAAATAGCAACAGCGCAACATCCATTGCTATGTTTTCCTATTCCATTTTAGGTTTACATAGGAAATGTGTAACTTCAAAGTATGCCCATTTAGTGTACGATTTTCTGTTTTGTGATATTGAACAATATTTGTGATATCTCCTGGTTGAGTAAAAGTGAAACGTTTTTGTTCATAAGACAAACGGTTAACATCTAAGCCCCTCCCTCTCTGTGATTGGCTCAGTCCTGGCGGAGGAGGCTGGCCGTCTGAACAGGACAGAGAACGTGGAGAAGGACGAGGCTAACAGCACACGGCTACGAGAGCAGATAGCGGCCATATTGGAAACCATCAGAGCAGTCAACCTATCTCTGGCCAACGCCAGCGTCTCTACAGAACTCAGGTCAGTTAGCCATATAAGGTGCTGATTTAATGTAGGCTACCCTTCCTGGATTCAATCCCATACAATAACCAGCTATCTGCACACAGAAATCAACTGTCAATACTTAACTAGAAAATCTCTATATAATCTCTCTGGATGTTTACGCTGTAATGTTAGTAATACTGTTTCTAGTCATGCTGGGGTGATTGAGTATAGGCATACTGTGTAACACTGTTATGAGCTGTAATGGTGTTTAGTAAAGCTGTATTAAAGTATAGTTACAACACTATAGTACATTAATGTGTATTCCTAAAGTGACTAACCCTGCTGTGGTTACCCCTGTACCACAGTGCTACTGAGGCTCTCCTCCAGAGGGTGCTGAAGGACATCCAGGAGCCCCAGGGGGCGATAGAGTCCCAGACCCTCAACATCTCTACCACCCTGACTGAACACCACCAACAGCTAGAGGATGCCCATGCCCTACTGATGACTGCCAGGGAGAAGAACAACCACACACACACCCTGCTGGGGAGCATCAACACCAACCTGCCAGAGTACCAGGTCAGTACACTTACTATACTCACTGTACTCAGTACTCACATTTACTATACTCACTGTATTTTTTTTACATTTACATTTTTAGTCATTTAGCAGACGCTCTTATCCAGAGCGAGTTACAGTTAGTGAATACATATATTTTTATACTGGCCCCCCGTGGGAATCGAACCCACAACCCTGGCGTTGCAAACGCCATGCTCTATCAACTGAGCTACATCCCTGCCGGCCATTCCCTCCCCTACCCTGGACGACGCTGGGCCAATTGTGCGCCGCCCATGAGTCTCCCGGTCGCGGCCGGCTGCGACAGAGCCTGGATTCGAACCAGGATCTCTAGTGGCACAGTTAGCACTGCGATGTAGTGCCTTAGACCACTGCGCCACTCAGACCACTGCGCCACTCAGGACTTACTATACTCACTGTACTCAGTACTCACCCTTACTATACTCACTGTACTCAGTACTCACATTTACTATACTCACTGTACTCAGTACTCACTTAATATACTCACTGTACTCAGTACTCACTTACTATACTCACTGTACTCAGTACTCACACTTACTATACTCACTGTACTCAGTACTCATGCTTTCTATACTCACTGTACTCAGTACTCACACTTACTATACTCACTGTACTCAGTACTCACTTACTATACTCACTGTACTCAGTACTCACGCTTACTATACTCATTGTACTCAGTACTCACACTTACTATACTCACTGTACTCAGTACACACGTACTATACTCACTGTACTCAGTACTCACGCTTACTATACTCACTGTACTCAGTACTCACACTTACTATACTCACTGTACTCAATACTCACACTTACTATACTCACTATACTCAAGTACATTAATGTGATATAAATGACATGTAGTCAAGTTTGCCATTATTGTTGGTCTGTGCCATATCAGGTCACTTTTATTAAAATGTACAATGTTGTCAAATGTAGGTTGTGAAGTTATTTGATTTGGACTTTTGGTCATCTTCAAACATTTTAACTGTAGAGGGTCTATACATTTTTCCAGTAGAAGTATTTAGACTGTGTTGTCTCTGTGTGTGTAGGGTCTGAAGCAGAATGTGAGCCGGCTGAACCAGACAGCAGAAACCCAACTGGAGGAGACTCAGGACATCCTGGCTGATGCTGTCAATCTAGCAGAGGAAATGGGCAACATCACCTCTGTAAGTCATACCATAACACCATATTACCACCATATCCATGTCAAATACATGGGATATACTGTACAACTGCAATAAAGTAGCATCCCCCTATTTTGTTTATTTGTTGATTTAATCTTTATTTAAACAGGAAGTCACTTAACCCTCCCGTTGTCCTAGGGTCAAAATGACCCGCCACTGTGTTGAACCAACTTTATTTAATTTTTATATTTTGGGGATCATTTGTGAGAAGGAGGCAGTGAGACTTTAAAGAAAGTATCACTGCCTCCTTCTCACAAATGATCCAAAAAATATAAAAATTAAATAAAGTTGGTTCAACACAGTGGCGGGTCATTTTGACCCTAGGACAACGGGAGGGTTAAGATTAAAAAGACTGTATTGCTAGTAGAGCCTGAGTCTGTTTGAACTGGTGGTGTGTGTGACCTGTACAGCAGCTGGAGGGGGCCAAGGACCAGCTGGAGCAGTGGAACCCCATGTTGAGGAAGCATGTGGACGCTCTGGTGATGGAGCTGAGGAAGAAAGATGCTCTGGAGCTCGTCTACAAGGCTGAGGACCACGCCCGGGAACTCAGCAAGAAGGCCCAGGGTCTGCAGAGGTGTGTGTGTGTGTGCCGCCAGTCAGGCGAGTGTGTGTGTGAACTTCTACATATGTATCTTTGTCTATGTATTTCAAAATGTCTCGTCATCACAAACATTAGGCCATAGAAATAGGACTAAATAGATATAATAGCGATTAAGTCCATACACATCAGCCTAACCTCTTCTTCCTGTATGTAGCTCTCTAGTGGAGGTGATGAATGCCACTCTGAACGCCACCAGTGCAGTGCATGGTAACTCTAACATCAGAGCTAACGTCCAGCCTGCAGAGGAGATGGCTAACTTAGCCAACCTGACCGCTACTATGGCCCTCAATATGGTGAGTCAACACTCATTTAGTGTACATTCACTATTAATATCAGACCATATAATAACTAGACTGGTCCCAGATCTGTTTGTGCTGTCTTGCCCCTATGGACATTTAATGCAAACGCCATAGGATTTGGCAAGACAGCACAAAACAGATCTGGGACCAGGCTATAGAATAACCACTACTACATTGGATATGAAGTGTGTTGTGGGTCAGAAACCTGCTAGCTATAGGAGTAAATAACTGTGTGTGTTGACTGTAGACTGTCCAGCCAGAGGAGTCTCTAACTGATCTTGGATCTGAGGCTGTGCAGCGTAGTGAGAATGTTCTGGCTGAGAGTCTGGCCCTGAGAAACAGCACTGAGGGTGAGTTGGAGCGCACACACACACACACACACACACACACACACACACACAAGATGCCTTATGGTAGTAAATGTTATATGTGTGTCCTCCCTAGGTCTCCTGGCTAACATCAGTGACGTGACCGATAGAATGGCCTTGCTGAAAGAGAAACTCTGTAACACCAGCCGTCTGATCCCAGAGCAAGGGGCCCTGCTTCACAGCCTTCCCAACGGTGAGTGGCACTGCAACCTGCTGCCCTGTCAACTCAACTGTTCTTTTATGTATCCTTTCTGCTTTAACATACTGTAGACAAAAGTCATATATTTAACACTTGATCACGAACTCGGAGGCACACTAGACAGTGGGGAAACAGTTTGTGTGACATTGCCTGTGCTGCCCCTAGTAGGCACCAGTGAGCAGGTGCTGGAAGCCAAGGAGCAGGCTGCCTTGGCCAACGCTTCCCTACAGAGGGCGCTGGAGCGCCTGGAGGAGCTCCAGGTCAGACTGGAGGAGTCCAGCACGGCTGTGGCCCAGGCCAAAACCAGCATCTCCAACACCAACCAGCTGGTCTCCGACTCACACTCCACTGGTGAGACTAACACATCCTTCAGACGTCCGACTATGGTTCTAGCTAGATTATAGCCAGCGACTTTGTAATGGAAGCGTTTTTCACCCTCGCTTCCATCCTTTCCACATTAAACTACACCACATTTGAAGAAAAGTAGTGCCCCAAATACCTGTCTAATGCTAGTAAAATGTTATTATCATGTTATCATGTCATGTCACTTTAGAGGCTAATTTCTAGAGATGAGTAAGATGCCATAAGCATCACTAACCTGTCCTATCTGTTGTCCCTCTCAGCTAGTACAGCTGAGTCTAAGCTGAAGGAGGCAGAGAGTCGTACAGAGAGGCTGTATGACCGTCTCAAACCCCTCAAGACCCTGGGGGAGAACCTGAGCAGAAATCTGTCTGAGATCAGAGAGATGATCAACCAGGCCCGCAAACAAGCTGCCTCGGTTAGTCACTGCTACACACACACACACACACACACACACACACACACACACACACACACACACTGTACATGGGCATACATCCTCTGCTCTCCATTGTAATACTGTTTATGTCCTCCTCTCTCCTGTATAGATCAAGGTGGCAGTGCTGGCAGACAAAAACTGTGTGAGGGCCTACAAGCCTGAGGTGTCCTCCAGTAACTTCAACACTCTTACCATGACCGTCAAGACCAGCGAGCCTGACAACCTGCTCTTCTATATGGGCAGCAGCTCCAGCGTAAGTCACACATTGACACGTACTGAATATCCTATGAAATACCTAATCATGATTACCCATAAGTCAGTTTTAAACTAAAGTCTACTGTATATAATCTACATTCAACCAGATAGTTATAAATAAACCATCTATAAACTACCCTTCATAAACCTTGTATAATGTCAATGTAAAGTGTTACCAGTATAAGCATATCTCTATCTGACATGTGTAAAGTAAATGTATAATTTTACGCTGTATATCAGGTGGACTTCATGGCGGTGGAGATGCAGCATGGCAAGGTGGCGTTCCTGTGGGATGCGGGTTCAGGCCACGCCAAGCTGGAGTACCCCGATGTCAAGATCAACAACAACAAGTGGCACCGCATCAATGCCACGCGCTTTGGGAAGCACGGCACACTGTCAGTCCACCAGCTGGAGTCAGACCCCTTGCCCGCGGTGAAGACCACCTCACCAGGCTCCGCTACGATCCTGGAAGTCAACAAGTCCACCCTGATATTCGTTGGTGGCCTGGGAGGCCAGATCAAGGTACAGTATTAAGATCTGGCTGGGTATTTTTCACTCAGCAATGGTTCTAGTCAGCAATTTGGGTCGGTGAGAACTTGAACTCATTTAATTCAAGTTGAGTCAACATCTTTCATTATGTTTTCTCCACTAATAAAACTGTGTTATAAAAATAGATTACACAGGACAAAATAATTTAGATCATCTAAAACAATTGATTCAATCTCTTTTGTGTCTACAGTCCTCTGTGGTGAAGATGAGCCAGTTTAAGGGCTGTATGGGGGAGGCGTCGCTCAACGAGAAGAACATCGGGCTGTGGAACTACGCTGAGAGGGAGGGCCAGTGTCGCGGCTGCTTCATGAGTCCGCAGACAGAGGAGACGTCCTTCCACTTTGATGGAAGTGGCTATTCAGTGGTAGAGAAACCCCTCCGCTCCACCTCCACCTCAATCGTCATGCTGTTCAAGAGCCTTTCCCCCAACGGCCTGCTGCTCTACCTGGCCTCCAACGGCACGGTACGGCCCCTACTGGCCCACACACACACTACAACCACACTGAACAGTCTGTATTTGTAGCCTAGTTAGCACATAGTGGTCAGCTATTATCCTCTGATGTAACCAAATTCTCCTATGGGGACAATAAAGATTGATTGATAGATTGATGTGTTTATTTGTCATTACAGAGGGACTTCCTGTCCATTGAGCTGGTGGAGGGCCAAGTGCGTCTGACCTTTGAACTGGGCTCCGGCCCTCTGACCCTCACCTCCAACAAAGCCTACAACACCGGCAGCTGGTACAAGATCACCCTGCAGAGAAACAAACGCAAAGGTGGGTCAAAGGTCATAGGCTCATAGTTATAGGGTAGAGTTGACAACTAAACATTTTTGGGGCCACATATTTTTTCTTCCAATTTCTCCCTGGCACTATTGAAACACTATTCATACCCCTACTGTCTTGTAGTTAACCTGGTATAATGCCTATGACATGTAAAGTATTGTATCTCTCCCATCCTCCTAGTTTATATGGCGGTGATGGCGGCAGACAACTCATCAGAGAAAGAGATCATGGAGGCGGAGTCTCCTGGGACCGCATCCGACCTCAACCGCTCCGACCTGGACCCAATCTACATCGGGGGACTGCCCATGTCTCGCCCTATCAGGTACTGGAACTACTTTGGTGCATACTTCACCTACCTGCAAGATATTCCTAGTTGATATGCATTTGTATTGCTGTCATTAATATGTTTTTGGTGTAGCTCCTTAGCCTACTGCATTATGTAAATATTGAGCTTAGTGTGTGAATTGGTGTTTGTGTATTTTTTCATTTTTCTACATAAAGTAAAATAAGGTAAATTGTGAATTGAATTATTTTTGCAGGAGACAAGTAGTAGCACGGTCCTATGTGGGCTGCATCAAAAACATGGAGATTGCCCGTTCCAACTTTGACCTGCTTCGAGACTCCTATGGTGTCAAGAAAGGCTGTGTGTTAGAGGTAAGAAAGGCTGTGTGTTAGAGGTAAGAAAGGCTGTGTGTCAGAGGTAAGAAAGGCTGTGTGTCAGAGGTAAGAAAGGCTGTGTGTTAGAGGTAAGAAAGGCTGTGTGTCAGAGGTAAGAAAGGCTGTGTGTCAGAGGTAAGAAAGGCTGTGTGTCAGAGGTAAGAAAGGCTGTGTGTCAGAGGTAAGAAAGGCTGTGTGTTAGAGGTAAGAAAGGCTGTGTGTCAGAGGTAAGAAAGGCTGTGTGTTAGAGGTAAGAAAGGCTGTGTGTCAGAGGTAAGAAAGGCTGTGTGTCAGAGGTAAGAAAGGCTGTGTGTTAGAGGTAAGAAAGGCTGTGTGTCAGAGGTAAGAAAGGCTGTGTGTTAGGTAGACTCAGCCATATTGGGAAGAGTGAATAGTGACAGTCTTGGTATTTTAATTTTGCTGTAAAAGAGGAAGATGCCCAGCAGTACATGATGATGTCATATTGTTGAGTCAACTTACACTGAATGCAAAAATACTTTCCATATTCCCTATGAGTAACTTGTGCGTGTGTGTGTGTGTGTTCCAGCCTATCCGCAGTGTGTCTGTACTGAAAGAGGGCTATGTGGAGCTGCCGGCTGTGTCTCTTGACCCCCAGGGGGAGCTGTTGGCCTCCTTCTCTACCCGCAACGACACTGGCATCATCCTGGCAGGCTTCAGCAAGGCAGGCACCCGCAAAAGCAGACAGGCTCGCCAGGTAAGGCCACAGACATACTGTGATAAAAAATAAATAATAATAGCAGAGTCTAAATATATAACATATCATGAGACATTATAAGAGCTCATACATGCTCAATAAAGAATTATAGTGTTGCCAAAATGACTTATGGTTCAACCGTATATTGACCATGTTTTCTGTGTCCAGCCCTTCCTGGCAGTCATGCTGATGTCGGGGCGCTTGGAGGTTCACATCAACATGGCAGAGGGTGGGAGCGTCCACAAGGTTGTGGTGAAATCACGCTCTGGGAGCTTCAGTGACGGACAGGAGCACTCGGTCATCCTGCAGAGGAACAGGAAGTGAGTGGCACCAGGAAGAGGGACTGATTAAGCTGTAACACCTATCATGATATTATGCTGATGGATGGCTCAGTCATTATAAATGATGTCATTTGAAATGATACTTCCACACACACACGATTACCTCTGCATTTATTGTGTTGTCTGTGACCTTATTCAATAACTTTCTATGCTGATGTTATACATAGGCCTACCCTCAGTTGATAAAAATGATGGATATATAACAACTGCCATGGGATTAAAGCAACTTTGAAATGGCCATTGAACAGCAGTAAATACTGCAGATTGTACCTTTAATAATCATATTGTCCAGTATGGAATAATTTACAGGAAGTCTATTCTAAGAGGAATAGCACTGCATTGTTATTATTGACACTGAGTAACATACCACTGTGCGTGTCATCCATCCAGGATGTTGGTGGTACTAGTGGATGAGGACCACCAGGAGATGGTACGTCTGTACTCAGAGAAGGCCTCTCTGACCCTCACCTCTCTGTACATGGGCGGGGTCCCACCAGGAGAGGGCGCCGGGCTGCTCCGAACAACCACCTCCTTCTACGGCTGCATCAGAAACCTGGCCCTGGACGCCAAGTGAGTCACACACACACACACACAATACACTATGATACTTTATTTGTCACACTATACTGGAGCAGTCTGTTTTTATCGAGGATGCCATAAATATGTTTGCAAGGCTAAGCATCATCTAGAATAATCTTTTTTTTGTCGCTGGTAACAAGGAGTATGGCATCCCTCCTCAATTGGGGCCCTGGTGGTTACTCTTTGGTCGGACCCGTGTTGTGCTGTGTCCCTATAGGTTGTTGGACCTGTCAGCTTCTGTGAGGTACCACAACGTGGACATGGACAGCTGTCTATTGGAGGAGAGGCCTAAAAGGGTCCTCCTACCTGACGACACTGACCTGGAGGCCGAACCCACTCCGGACCCTGCCAGAACCCCTCCACCACCCCCCAGCCAGCTCAATGCGCTCACCCCCGGCACACTCACGGTACAGCCCACCAGAGTAGACACACACACACACACCTCTCATCTATTGGGATTTACTGTAGCTCTTCCACTTTCAAACAGGTCACTATGTTGTCATAGATAGTTCCTTGTCTTTCTCTTCATCTCTCCAGTGTGCATCGATGGACAACACCACATCCATCCCAGAGGCCCACCAGTTTGGCATCTCCAGACACAGTCACATGGTCCTCAGCATCAACCCTAACACAGTGAGGAGAAGGTCAGTACTGAGACCTGGCTCGTTGAACTACCTTCTAACTTCAAAACATAACAGATCGCACAGCATGGTTTTTATCATAGAGATCATATTCTATGTTATTTCTATGATTGTCACAATTCTAGATTAATTATTTAGGATTCTCACTTCATAGTGTTGTGTCTAATTTGAGTCATTTTAGCCTTGATATCAGTTGGCCCATAGCTACATGTGTAAAACAGGTTCAAGCCAGCATTCCAGTACATTGAAATGGCGTAGGAAGGTACACTAGTATGTGGACACCCCTTCAAATTATTGGATTCGGCTATTTCAGCCACACCGTTGCTGACAGGTGTATAAAATAGAGCACACAGACAAGCAATCTCTTCATTACGGGCAGTAGAATGGCCCGTACTGAAGAGCTCAGTGACTTTCAACGTGGCACCGTCACAGGATGCCACCTTTCCAACAAGTCAGTTTGTCAAAGTGGAAACGTCTAGGAGCAACAACGGCTCAGCCACAAAGTGGTAGGCCACACAAGCTCACAGAATGGGACTGCTGAATGCTGAAGTGCGTAGCGCGTAAAAATCGTCTGTCCTCTACCGAGTTCCAAACTGGCTCTGGAAGCAACGTTTTATTACAAAAATAAAACTTAAACTCATAGAAGTTTGACCCCAAGAGACACATGTCAGAAGGGGTGTATTATGATGAGCCTCTGTGGACTCTCATGGACAAAGTGGAGCTTCATGAAATGGATTTCCATGGCAGAGCGGCCGCACACAAGCCTAAGATCACCATGCGCAATGCCAAGCGTCGGCTGGAGTGGTGTAAAGCTCACCACCATTGGACTCTGGTGCAGTGGAATCGCGTTTCACCATCTGGCAGTCCGACGGACAAATCTGGGTTTGGCGGATGCCAGGAGAACACTACCGGCCCCAATGCATAACGCCAACTGTACAGTTTGGTGGAGGTGGAATAATTCTCTAGGGCTGTTTTTCATGGTTCAGGCCCCTTAGTTCCAGTGAAGGGAAATCTTAACGCTACAGCATATAATGATATTCTAGACAATTCTGTGCTTCCAACTTTGTGGTCCATACCAAAATTGGTTTGTCAAGATCGGTGTGGAAGAACTTGACTGGCCTGCACAGAGCCCTGACCTCAACCCCATCAAACACCTTTGGGATGAATTGTAATGCCGACTGCGAGCCAGGTCTAATCTCCCAACATCAGTGCCCTACCTCACTAATGCTCTTGCGGCTGAATGTAGAAAGTCCCCGCAGCAACGTTCCAAAATCTAGTGGAACGCCTTCCCAGAAGAGTGGAGGCTGATACAGCAGCAAAGTGGGGACCAACTCCAAATTAATGCCCATGATTTTGGAATGAGATGTTCGACAAGCAAGTGTCCACATACTTTGTAACATACAGGATAGTGCATGTCAAAAAAACCTCTTAAGGCCATCATCGTTGATTGCTTTTCTCTGAGCATGAGTGCATATCTCTTCATTAAAGAGAGGAATTATAATAGCCTCCCTAAGGTCTACCTAATTTCCTGTCTCGGCTGTGGCCCATTCTCTTTGTTTAAATATCTATTATTCACGAGGCACTGCTTGGAAACGAGCAGAGCTAATGTTACACATTGCCATTGACATAGCTAGAACTCTTCTCAAGTGTTCCACTGTAGCCTACATTGTTTGTGATTGAGAGGAAGGCACAGTTCAATTAGCCTGGTCCCAGATCTGCGTGTGCTCTTTCCAACTTCTATTGTCACTGTCATGCCAAACATGTTGTGGGACCCAGCTAGGTTTTTGGTTGGTGGATGCATTCATCAATATATGATTATTATGAGATTGGTTGTCACTCCGAAACAAATTTCCACTTCAATTGTGTATTATTTACAATTATCCACAAATTGTCATATCCATTCATTGCCTATATATAGGTCTACCAAACCATTAACAAAAGTCTTCATCTTACAGTACATCATAGCTAACTCCAAATATAGCTTTGTCAGTAGATGAAATGCTTCATATCTCTTCTCGCTTCTCTCCCTGACAGTTTCTCTCTGGAACTGTCGGTGCGTACCTTTGCCCAGAGTGGTTTGCTCTACTACATGGCCCACGCCAACCAGATGGACTACGCCACTCTGCAGCTGCTGGGGGGACGTCTGTTCTTCACCTGTGACAAGGGCAGCGGCCCCGCCACCGCCACCTTCCCTGTGCCTGTCAATGACGGCCAGTGGCACACAGTTAGTGACTACACCCTTCTGGGCCAGAGTGATAGTAGATTGCAGTGTTTGTTTGGGTCAATTGCAGTTGATTTTGGTCGATTCAAGGGATGCATAACAATATTATTCATGAATACAAAAAGCCCAAGTACAGTGCATTCAGAAAGTATACAGACCCTGTCACTTTTTCCACATTTTGTTACGTTACAGCCTTATTCTAAAATTGATTAAATGTTTTCCTCATCAATCTACACACAATACCCCATAATGACAAAGCGAAAACAAGTTTTTTGAAATTTTGGCAAATGTATTACAAATTAAAAACAGATACCTTAGATAAGTATTCAGACCCTTTGCTATGAGACTCGAAATTGAGCTCATGTGCATCCTGTTTCCATTGATCATCCTTGAGATGTTTCTACAACTTGATTGGAGTCCACCTGTGGTAAATTCAATTGATTGGACATGATTTGGAAAGGCACACACCTGTCTATATACAGTGAGGGAAAAAAGTATTTGATCCCCTGCTGATTTTGTACATTTGCCCACTGACAAAGAAATGATCAGTCTATAATTTTAATGGTAGGTTTATTTGAACAGTGAGAGACAGAATAACAAAAAAAAAATCCAGAAAAACGCATGTCAAAAATGTTATAAATTGATTTGCATTTTAATGAGGGAAATAAGTATTTGACCCCCTATCAATCAGAAAGATTTCTGGCTCCCAGGTGTCTTTTATACAGGTAACGAGCTGAGATTAGGAGCACACTCTTAAAGGGAGTGCTCCTAATCTCAGCTTGTTACCTGTATAAAAGACACCTGTCCACAGAAGCAATCAATCAATCAGATTCCAAACTCTCCCCCATGGCCAAGACCAAAGAGCTCTCCAAGGATGTCATGGACAAGATTGTAGACCTACACAAGGCTGGAATGGGCTACAAGACCATCGCCAAGCAGCTTGGTGAGAAGGTGACAACAGTTGGTATGATTATTCGCAAATGGAAGAAACACAAAATAACTGTCAATCTCCCTCGGCCTGGGGCTCCATGCAAGATCTCACCTCGTGGAGTTGCAATGATCATGACAACGGTGAGGAATCAGCCCAGAACTACACGGGAGGATCTTGTCAATGATCTCAAGGCAGCTGAGACCATAGTCACCAAGAAAACAATTGGTAACACACTACGCCGTGAAGGACTGAAATCCTGCAGCGCCCACAAGGTCCCCCTGCTCAAGAAAGCACATATACATGCCCGTCTGAAGTTTGCCGATGAACATCTGAATGATTCAGAGGAGAACTGGGTAAAAGTGTTGTGGTCAGATGAGACCAAAAGGGAGCTCTTTGGCATCAACTCAACTCGCCGTGTTTGGAGGAGCAAGAATGCTGCCTATGACCCCAAGAACACCATCCCCACCGTCAAACATGGAGGTGGAAACATTATGCTTTGGGGGTGTTTTTCTGCTAAGGGGACAGGACAACTTCACCGCATCAAAGGGACGATGGACGGGCCATGTACCGTCAAATCTTGGGTGAGAACCTCCTTCCCTCAGCCAGGGCATTGAAAATGGGTCGTGGATGGGTATTCCAGCATGACAATGACCCAAAACACACGGCCAAGGCAACAAAGGAGTGGCTCAAGAAGAATTACATTAACATCCTGGAGTGGCCTTGCCAGTCTCCAGACCTTAATCCCATAGAAAATCTGTGGAGGGAGCTGAAGGTTTGAGTTGCCAAACGTCAGCCTCGAAACCTTAATGACTTGGAGAAGATCTGCAAAGAGGAGTGGGACAAACCTGGTGGCCAACTATAGGAAACGTCTGACCTCTGTGATTGCCACCAAGGGTTTTGCCACCAAGTACTAAGTCATGTTTTGCAGAGGGGTCAAATACTTATTTCCCTCATTAAAATGCAAATCAATTTATAACATTTCTGACATGCATTTTTCTGGAATTTGTTGTTATTCTGTCTCTCACTGTTCAAATAAACCTACCATTAAAATTATAGACTGATCATTTCTTTGTCAGTGGGCAAACTTACAAAATCAGCAGGGGATCAAATACTTTTTTCCGTCACTGTAAGGTCCCAAAGTTGACAGTGCATGTCAGAGCTAAAACCAAGCCATGAGGTCGAAGGAATTGTCCGTAGAGCTCCAAGACAGAATTGTGTTGAGGCACAGATCTGGGGAAGGGTACCAAAAAATTTGGAAGTTTGGAACCATCAATACTCTTCCTAGAGCTGGCCGCCCAGCCAAACTGAACAATTGGGGGAGAAGGGCCTTGGTCAGGGTGGTGACCAAAAACCTGATGGTCACTCTAACAGAGCTCCACAGTTCCTCTGTGGAGATGAGAGAACCTTCCAGAAGGACAACCATCTCTGCAGCATCCACCAATCAGGCCTTTATGGTAGAGTGGCCAGACGGAAGCCACTCCTCAGTAAAAGGCTCATGACAGCCTGCTTGGAGTTTGCCAAAAGGCACTTAAAGACTCTCGGACCATGAGAAACAAGATTCTCTGGTCTGATGAAACCAAGATTGAACTCCTTGGCCTGAATGCCAAGCTTAGGTCTGGAGGAAACCAGGCACCACTCATCACCTGGCCAATACCATCCCTACGGTGAAGCATGGTGGTGGCAGCATCATGCTGTAGGGATGTTTTTCAGCGGCATGGACTGAGAGACTAGTCAGGATCAAGATGAATGGAGAAAAGTACAGAGAGATTCTTGATGAAAACCTACTCCAGAGCGCTCAGGACCTCAGACTGGGGCAAAGGTTCACCTTCCAACAGGACAACGACCCTAAGCACACAGCCAAGACAACGCAGGAGTGGCTTCGGGACAAGTCTCTGAATATCCTTGCGTGGCCCAGCCGGACATGAACCTGATCGAACATCTCTGGAGAGACCGGAAAATAGCTGTGCAGCGACGCTCCCCATCCAACCTGACAGAGCTTGAGAGGATCTGCAGAGGAGAATGGGAGAAACTCCCCAAATACAGGTGTGCCAAGCTTGTAGCGTCATACCCAATAATATTCTAAGCTGCAATCGCTGCCAAAGGTGCTGCAACAAAGTACTGAGTAAAGGGTCTGAATACTTATGTAAATGTGTATGTTTTGCTAATTTTATGAAAAATCATCTAAAAACCAGTTTTTGCTTTGTCATTATGGTGTATTGTGTGTAGATTGATGAGGGAAACAAATAATTTAATCAATTTTAGAATAAGGCTGTAACATAACAAAATATGGAAAAAGTGAAGGGATCTGAATTCTTTCCGAATGCACAGTATGTCACAATTCATGTTAGTTTCAAATCATAACTGAAAGCAGTGATATTACTATGTAGGTTGTCAGGACTCAACTCTCCCTAACCCTGTCATGTATCTGTGGGTGTGTGCAGGTGAAGACAGACTTCAATAAGAAGAGTGTGGTGATCAGTGTAGACGGCCAGCCGTCAGCTCCAGTGCCGGCTAAAGGCAACACTTTGGATGTGGAGAACAAGCTGTATCTGGGAGGACTGCCTCACACCTACACTGCCAAGAAGATAGGCAACGTATGTCACACTACACCACACAACATACACGGAGTGTACAAAACATTAAGAACACCTGCTCTTTCGATGAGACTGACCAGGTGAAAGCTATGATCCCTTCTTGATGTCACTTGTTAAATCCACTTCAATCAGTGTAGATGAAGGAGAGGAGACAGGTTAAAGGATTTTATAAGCATTGAGACATGGATTGTGTGCCATTTCAGAGGGTGAATGGGCAAGACAAAATATTTAAGTGCCTTTGAACGGGGTATGGTAGTAGGTGCCAGGCGCACCGGTTTGTGTCAAGAACTGCAACAGCAACGGGTTTCTCATGCTCAACAGTTTCTCGGGTGTATCAGGAATGGTCCACCACCCTAAGGACATCCAGCCAAGTTGACACAACTGTGGGAAGCATTGGAGTCAACATGGGACAGCAACCCTGTGGAAAGCTTTCGACATCTTGTAGAGTCCATGCACCGACGAATTTAGGCTGTTCTGAGGGCAAAAGGGGGGGTGCAACTCAATATTAGGAAAGTGATGTTTGGTACACTCAGTGTACTTCCTATTCATGCTGAAATATAGTTTTTAGATAATTGTTTCTGTGTTGAAAGCAGGTGGTACATTTTCTGCTGAGTAAATGTTTATCCATAACCCCAAATGTTAATATTTGTATTCCCTCATGCAGGTGACCCACAGCTTGGCAGGCTGCATCCAGAAGGTGATGCTGAACAGTGTTAAGCTGGACACCCAGAGTCCAGTGTCCGAACACTCTACTGCTCACTGCTTCGCCGCAGCCCAGGACGGGACCTTCTTCAATGGGAGCGGATATGCTGCTCTGAGTGAGTACTAACGCCCATACACTCCATACTTCAAGGCAAAGACTCGAAAAATGCAAAAAAGCCAATTAAAAAGTATATTTCAGCATCCTTTCTGATACATTTTCAACCGGAATAATGCTTAGGATGACATCATTTTAACGAGCTCAATACATAGATACATTTGGCATGTTTAATAACATAAGTGGTAGTGCCTTTGTGTCCCTTGACTGTATGACACAGTGATCTAAACTGGTTAGTTGTGGTTTTTCCCTTGCAGTAAAAAATGGGTACAAGGTGGGCTCAGACATGGCGGTGGCTATGGTGTTCCGCAGCACAGCGCCGGATGGAGTCCTCCTCGGTGTCAGTAGCGCCAAGGTGGATGCCATCGGACTGGAGCTAGCCAACGGACAGGCGGTGTTCCACGTGAACAACGGTGCCGGGCGGTTGTCGGCCACGTCGCGGCTGGGCTGGTGGCTGTGTGATGGCCGCTGGCACACCCTGCTGGCAAAGAAGACCAAGAACGCTCTGAGTCTGACCGTTGACGGAGTCACGGTACTCACTGACAACCCCCATCCCCAGTCCACTTCGGCCGAGACCAAGGACCCGGTCTACGTGGGAGGCTTCCCTGGTATGTTCCCTCTCTAGAAAACCTTCAGTCACTGTCCACAAACAACCCCTATACCCTAAATGCAAGACACGTCACTGGACTGGGCCTTTGTCACCCCTTTGCTTTGATGTTGATCAATTTCAGTGTCAAGTAAATTAATTTGTTGGCACCCATATTGACCTCTCGCTCTCTCTTTTACAGACGGAGTGAAACAGAACTGCCTGACGTCCAGAATGCCGTTCCGTGGTTGTATGCGTAACATCCGCCTGATCAAGGGTCACGTGACCAACATCCTGGACTTCAGTACCGCCTTCACCCTCCAAGGAGTGTCACCCCACTCCTGCCCCACCACCACCGCATAACCTTGCCACAACAATACCACAACCATACCAGAACCTTACCACCATAACTTGACCACAGCCATACCAAACCATTCCATATCTAACGCTATGACCCTATGATTTGACCATCGAAATTTGACGTATGAAATTACTTCCAATTGTAATGTTTTGTAAAGAAAGATTGTAGTAATGTTTTATCAATGTGAAAATGTATTTTTTGAAATCAACTCATTTTCTAAAATGATTCCAAAAATGTTCTTTCGTGCATTTTGACTCCCCCAAATTAATTGGACAGTAGAATGTCTTTGTTTTATATGTGATGTTCTAGAACATTAATATTTGTTAATAAAATACTTTTTTAAAAAATCATTTTTGAATGTAAGTAAGCTATCTGTATTGCAGTGAAGCCATAGCTGATCTGTTGGCTCCATTACTGTAGGGCTACCCACTTGCCCACATACAGTGCCTTCGGAAAGTATTCAGACACCTTGACTTTCCCCCTCAGTCTACACACAATACCCCATAATGACAAAGCAAAAACAGGTTGCATTTTTTGGTGCTAATTTATTAAAAATAAAACGGAAATATTACATTTACATACAATCATGTGAAAAAGTAAGTAGACCCCCTGGAAAGTGGTATTTTTTTAAACATATTTGGACACATGGATATTTGAGCTAAATTCCCACCACATCCATTGATAAAGGTAACCCAATTTAACAAATCAATTTTTTTTTAAAATATATAATGCAATTAAAATAAACAAAAATGCATTTTCCTTATGCTGAAAAAGTTAGTACACCCTAACTTTACCATCACATAAAATGGTTAATATTAGAATCAGGTGCACCAAAACAGGTGCAAATGATTAGAAAATCATTAGAGAGAAACTTAGGAGGGTCCAGCCTTCCATAAAGATTAGAAACTTGGTCTGGTTTGGTCTGAACCATATGGGTGTGTGGTAACACATCATGCCAAGATCAAAATACCTATCCGAGGCCATCAGAATAAATATTATTGATGCCCATGAGTCTGGAAGAGGTTACAAATCCATTTCCAAGCAATTCTAAGTACATAATTCCACTGTCTGACGGCTCATCTACAAATGGAGAAAATTCCAGACCACTGGCAATCTACCTAGTACTGGTCGTCCCACCAAATTCAGCCCAAGAGCTGACCGAAAGATGCTTATAGAAGTCTCTAAGAACCCCAGGGTAACATCAAGGGATCTACAGGCCTCTCTTGCCACAATCAATGTCGAAGTGCATGAGTCGACTGTCAGAAAGAGACTGCACAAACTTGGCCTACATGGGAGGTCAGGAAGGAAGAAGCCTCTGCTCTCAAAAAAGAATATCAAGATACAACTGACGTTTGCCAGACAACATCTAGGTAAAGACCAAAACTACTGGAACAATGTGCTCTGGACAGATGAGTCAAAGGTGGCGTTGTTTGGCCGCAATGCCAGATGCCATGTTTGGCGAAAACGAAACGCTGCCTTTGAACAGAAGAACCTCATACCAACCGTAAAGCATGGAGGCGGTGGCATTATGGTTTGGGGCTGCTTTGCTACCTCAGGGCCTGGCCAACTTGCCATCATTGAGTCAACCATGAATTCTATATTGTACCAGAGAATTCTTGAGGAGAATGTGAGGCCATCTGTCAAAAAGCTGAACCGAACATGGATCTTGCAACAGGACAATGATCCAAAACACAAAAGCAAAGCTACAACAGAATGGCTCAAAAAGAAGAAATGGAGGGTTATGGAATGGCCAAGTCAAAGCCCATATATCAATCCTATCGAAATGCTGTGGGGGGACTTGAAGCGGGCCGTGCATGCAAGAAAGCCCTCGAACATGACACAGTTGAAGCAGTACTGTAAAGAAGAGTGGGCAAAAATTCCTCCCAGTCGATGTAAGAGACTGCTAGACAGTTACAAGAAACGTCTACATGAAGTTATTTCAGCCAAAGGGACAACACAAGATATTGAAGCTAGGGGTGTACTTATTTTTTCCACACTCTGGAATTGCATTTCTGTTGATTTTTGATGAATAAATGATTGCAAAGTATAATCTTTCAGTGTCATTTGTTAAATTAGGTTACCTTTCTGTCAATAGTGTTGAAGTGAAGATTACATATCCATCTGTCCAAATATGTAAAAACAAAAGACAACTTTCCAGGGGGTGTACTTACTTTTTCACATGACTAAGTATTCAGACCCTTTGCTCAGTACTTTGTTGAAGAACCTTGGTAGCAATTACAGCCTCGAGTCTTCTTGGGTATGACGCTACAAGCTTGGCACACCTGTATTTGGGGAGTTTCTCCCATTCTTCTCTGCAGATCCTCTCAAGCTCTGTCAGGTTGGATAGGGAGCGTCGCTGCACAGCTATTTTCAGGTCTCTCCAGAGATGTTCGATCGGGTTCAAGTCCGGGCTCTGGCTGGGCCACTCAAGGACATTCAGAGACTTGTCCCGAAGCCACTCCTGCGTTGTCTTGGCTGTGTGCTTGGGTTGTTGTCCTGTTTGAAGGTGAACCTTCACCCCAGTCTGAGGTCCTGAGCGCTCTGGAGCAGGTTTTCATCAAGGATCTCGCAGTACTTTTCTCTGTTCATCTTTCCCTCGATCCTGACTAGTCTTCCAGTCCCTGCCGCTGAAAAACATCCCCACAGCATGATTCTGCCACCCCCATGCTTCACTGCAGGGATGGTGCAAGGTTTCCTCCAGACGTGACTCTTGGCATTCAGGCCAAATAGTTAAATCTTGGTTTCTTCAGACCAGAGAATCTTGTTTCTCATGGTCTGAGTCTTTAGGTGCCTTTTGGCAAACTCCAAGCAGGCTGTCGTGTGCCTTTTACTGAGGAGTGGCTTCCGTCTGGCCACTCTACCATAAAGGCCTGATTGGTGGAGTGCTGCAGAGATGGTTGTCCTTCTGGAAGGTTCTCCCATCTCCACAGAGATTGCTCAGTTTGGCCGGGCGGCCAGCTCTAGGAAGAGTCTTGGTGGTTCCAAACTTCTTCCATTTAAGAATGATGGAGGCCACTGTGTTCTTGGGGACCTTCAATGCTGCAGAAATGTTTTCGTACCCTTCCCCAGATCTGTGCCTCTACACAATCCTGTCTCGGAGCTCTACGGACAATTCCTTCAACCTCATGGCTTGGTTTTAGCTCTGACATGCACTGTCAACTGTGGGACCTTATATAGACAGGTGTGTGCCTTTCCAAATCATGTCCAATCAATTGAATTTACCACAGGTGGACTCCAATCAAGTTTTAGAAACATCTCAAGGATGATCAATGGAAATAGGATGCACCTGAGCTCAATTTCGAGTCTCATAGCAAAGGGTCTGATTACTTATGTAAATAAGGTATTTCTGTTTTTTATTTTAAATGAATTTGCTAAACATTTTACAAACCTGTTTTCGCTTTGTCATTATGGGGTATTGTGTGTAGTTTGCTTAGGATACATTAAAAAAAAATCCATTTTAGAATAAGGCTGTAACGTAACAACATTTGGAAAAGTCAAGGGGTCTGAATACTTTTCCAAAGGCACTGTATTATGCAGTGCATACCACATCTGTCAAAGCTGCTTCCAAAGCTGTCATCCTTCTGATATTATCCGTTCTATACCATGTCTGTCTGTCTTTCTGCAGTTTCCCAGGAGTACTATCAGAATAATGTTCTGAATCTAGTTTTCATGCTATTTTGGGGGAGAAACTGAACTGACTTTTTAAAAGAAGGAAAAGAGAAGTCCATTTTTAACTTGATGTTATATTCAGTTGTTACTGTGTCAGATACATTGTGCCACTTGGCCAAAACTGTCGACTGTGGTCAAATAATATTAATATAAATGCAAATAAATGTTTTTAAAAAATCAGTATGCTATATACAGAAAATACACACATAGTAAGAGTATATGGTGCACAATTATCATAAAAATAAAAAAATGACATACTGGCTTTGGAAGGATGAAAATAATCCAAAAGAATTCCTGAGCAAAGTCATATCAACATTACGACCTTTGTGTCTTGTCGATGCATTTGCGACAGGCTAATTTGGGAGCACAGAATACTTTAACAACAAAAACCACGGGCTGACAACCATGGCACAGGCAAACATTGAACTACAGTAAGACCACAGAGTAAAATAACAAAGTGGAGAGAGGTTGGTTGGGCTAAAACATACATGCCCTGCAAGTAAACATTATTCACAAGTTCAAACACTGTTAGCAGGCCAAGGCTAGCCTGGTTAAACCAGACTGAACACTGCGCTTACCATCGTTTGAAATGAAACGATGGTGAAATGTAGTGAAGTCAGTTTGGAAACCAGGCCAGGCAAACACTGCTATGAAGAGCCTTTTTTTATGGCCACTCCATGCCTTTTCTCCTCTCCTTCATTAGTGTAAGTATTGTAAGCACTCTCCAGGCATGCAAAGTCAGTTTAGTTCATTAGTAATGCATGCCTCTTATGTAGACTAGACATACAGGATTGGTTGAGAGGGTTGTTAAGTCATAGTGTGGTGTGTACATTGTTTTCTACAATTCACATTGTACAACATTCACAGTCCATTGGGGTGGGGAGATGTGTTAGGAGGAAGAGGTTTAAGTTCTGGACCTGTTATATTAGTGCTCAACATGCAAATCCAAAGAGCAAAGAAGGTGGGCTTGAAAATGGCCTGAATCCTTGGTCACAGTTCTGATGTGGGCATGTGTCTCAGTACTCTGAAACCACTTCCTCTCCTTATCTCATGTCCTTGATGACCACTGACAGGTAAAAGGACTGGATAGGTTTCCACTACGTTGTTTTCACCTGCCTTGTCCTGATTAGTACTAGACACAGATCAGTGGTCAGCAGGACAGGAGACCATGAAATTAAGTTGTTACAACGTCTGAGACGGAGCAAATGTCTGTATTCAGTATCAGGTCATCCCATCTCCACTTGTCCCTCACCATCATGAACTCAACAACCCAAATTGCTAGTCTTCTGAATCTCCTCACTCCCAATGGTTTTGCAATCAACATGCTGCTCTTATAAATGATTTAAAAAAGTGATATGTAGTATGCGTAATAATACAATAAGCAGTATAAATTAGTGGTATAAATATAGCAAGTAAATCTTTAACTGGGTCTTGCATGAAGTGGTACACATTGTTCAGTGAGCGGACCGATCACTGTCTATTATTGTGTCCATGGTCTCTGTAGCAGGGTCGTTCCACGAAGAGTTCCTTTTGCATCCCTTTGATATTTTAAGTAGCAATTGTGCCACAATATTGAATTTTAAAATCCAGTTTTATTAAATGAAGTGCCCTTTGATATAGACCACATGGAGAATTCAATAAATCCGATTTTTAATATTAATAAAGACTTGCTAAAGTGTCCCTCAATGCACCCTCTGACTTCTAGGAAGATTTTAAGCCACTTAACCCCAACATTTCACCATCATTGTAAAGGCCTAGTTATTTTGTTGCTTTGACAAAAGTAATTTCTGAAGATTAGTGATTCATTTAAGTCTGACCCTCATTTTAAGGTCAATCCAGTTACGTGACACTGAACTCTTGTTTTAATATGGTGAGACTAATCCTTTTTAAATATGTTTTTCAAAAGACACATTGAGGATCTAATAGCCAAATCGTAGTGTAAAAGGAGTTCCTCTCCTCAAAGGGCACTGAATTGGTGGAACGACCCAGTAGGTGAATATCTGGCACCAAACAATTCCAATGGCAAGCAATGGGATGTCGTCAGTCACGTGTGTGGCGCATGTCTTCACAAAGCTGTCCCTCCTCCAAATACTTCCATTCAGAACCCGGATATTCAGAGTATAGTGCTTCCGTCATTTTTAGTATTTTGTTAAAAGGTTTAATCACACAAACAGGGCCTGAGATGAGTCCTTCCTTCAGAAGGAGAATGTCTCTCTCCATAGTTCCTCTCTAAGCGCTCTCTCTTTTTAGTGGTCCATTGTTTGGGATAAAACCTCAATTGAACCTAAAGTCAACAAGACCTCCATGCATAGTCAGTTCACCAGGACGACCACAAGAGGGCAGTGGTTCAGTCTGCTTGCTGACTGTTGAGCGAGTGAGTCCTCAGTTCTCATGTGGTTGTGGGTTTTAAAAGCCATTCACAGTGCGGATTCACATGGTACACGTCTAGTAGGTGAGTCTCAGGGTCCAAGCAGCGCTCGCCTAGAGAGAAAAGTATTGTTTAGTTTGGTTAACGAAGACTGAGAAATGACAAGAATAATTTGTGTTTGAAAATAATTTGAGTCAAACAGTGATGTAACTATACATACCTATGTTTCCTCCGACCTCAAACAAATACTGTACTGGCCTCCGGCTAGTGCTTCTGGTGCCACGACTGTGAGAGAAAAAAATAGAATGATTTTAATAAACCCAGACATCCCTATAGTATGCATTAGCAACATCAATAACTGTCTGGGACAGAAAAATACGAATCATCCTCATCCTCTTCCTCCACTGACCCGTTCTCGTAATCGAAGCGCGCCATCACGTCTTTGGCCTTGGTCTCGTTATCCAACTGGATTGCCATGGAGATCTTGGCGTGTTGTGGGGCGTGAACCCTGATGACCCCTTCTCTGAGGTCAGTCAACTGTGGACCAAGAAAAGCCCCAACTTCAATTCAAGTCCCATTACATGAGTACACCTCATGCTGAAAGGTACTAGCGACCTCATCCAATTAGGTACTGTCAGGAGCAAGCATACACCCAATAGCCTATGATATTGTTGTCTAGTCAAACTAACATTGAGAATAAATCTAATTGGCCATTTCAAGTTGGGGTTAAAGTACTTTAGAGTCGATAAATCAGTAATCATTACCTCGCTCCTCTCAGTCTTCTCGGCGTTCCTCTTCCTCATCAGTAGCAGCTTCCTCTTGGTCTTCTCTGAGCTGGGCGGCTTCTTGCTGGCACCAGCCTCATTCAACTTCCTCACGTGGGAGATGAGAAAGCAGGGCACCTGAGGAGAGAACAATATACCTATTAATCTCTCTCCTCTTTTTCTCTTTACATCTCTCCCTTTCTTCTCTTTCTCCCCATCTGACCGGAGGCTTGATGATTTGGGCTATACTGATGATTTGGGCTATACTGACATTGCATTCTAATAGGCCAGGCACCAGTCACCAGATTTGGGTCAAGCTGCTCTTTGTGTTTCATACAATGTGCCTGGATCACTTCCCTCATGGGTTTTTGTTCAGTAGTTTTGTAGTTTTGCATTTTGGTAGGCACTGGTCTATTAGCCTCGCATAAAAACTGTTTTCCAGTAAAACCTTGTGGTCTACATAAAAAAAATATTTTCTTGAATTACTGAAAGGGAGGTTTTGTTCAGCAGAATTACAGAGGTTGTACTGGAATCTTAAAATTGCAGATGCTATGCTGGAGCAGTTTGAGAAGTATAGACGTAATCTATCAACCACTAATTTGGGAAATTGCAGTCCCACTGTAGTTGAATAACACCCAATTCTGTCCTGATGAGGCGAGATGACTGTTGACAAGATATGTTTGGAGGTAGTGAATGTGTAGTGTGTGTGTGTGTGTGTGCGCATGTATCACATCTCTATGTGTTCGTGTACGCGCGCGTGTGCAGCAAACTCACGGTCCAGAGCAGGTCTTGGTATGTGATGAGTAGCCGTACGAGGTGGGCCGCCCCGGCTGCCCCCTGCATCTCCTCCTGCTTGGCGTTCTTGCCCCGGTAGGTGAAGAGGTTGGGAGCCACGATCATGGACACGTTCCACAGACTCATCCTATTCTTTTCTTCATAAGCTACCACCTTCCTCAGGAACTCCAACAGGGCCTGGAGGGGCACAGAGGGGTTAGAGTGGGTCTTTGTGTGTGTGTGTGTGTGTGTGTGTCCTTCGGATTTATTCCTTCAAGAAAATAGTTTAAACCTTTGCACTGGCACAATCAATGGGTAAATCTGGCCTACTGACCCAAAATATACCCACACTAAAACACACTCATATCTTATCCTACACATGTCATTTGATATACTGTACACTCAGGAAGAGAGGACGTTAGTGGGTTATCACCCGTTTTCCCTCCACACCTTCAAAACACCCACCTGAATAAGGATTGACACCTCTTATCTAAACTTTACATGATAACCTCTTTATGGGACTACACTTAAACACGGCTGTTGCTCTTCACGTTCACTTCAAGTGTGCCGAGATAAGTCATCATATTACACCTCGACTGAGGCTTGAGCAACACTTCATGGTTGTTTACATGTTACGAAGGCAACCGCCCCTTAGAATGGTTGTGACTATTGGCTTAATGAGTCATAGGAATGCATAGCAAATGCATAGTAGGACACAGTTGCCCAATTCAAAATAAACTCTTAGCCCCTGCACTTATTTGAGCTATTTTAGGATTGGATATATGGGATAGGTGTATGTTTGTGTTTTGGGTTGTGAGGTCAAAGTTGAAAGTGTAGTTTCTCAGTCCATGATCATGAGTCTTGGGATAGCTACAAAGGACGTGATTCCTAAATGGAGACCAAAGGTGAACAACACAGTGACTTGACCTTTAGGGTCCTAGGGTCATTAGTCAAAGCTCACCTTGAGTGTGTCTCTGTTGGGCTCAGGGAGCAACATGATGAGGAGGTGCAGAGCCTGGATCTGGTGTCTGGGAGAGGAGACACCTGAGGAGGGACAGAGCGGAATACACACTGATATTTCAGCACACACACACACCCTACCATCTGGTGGAAGTGTTGTTGACTGTTATTGGCATTGTTAAGAGTACATTTAGGAGAGAAAATGGAAATGAATCATAAATTACTAGAAACAAATATACACTATATATACAAAAGTATGTTGAAATCCCTTCAAATTAGTGGATTTCGCTATTTCAGCCACACCTGTTGCTGACAGGTGTATAAAATAAAGCACACAGCCATGCAATCTCCATAGACAAACATTGGCAGTAGAATGGCCTTACTGAAGAGCTCAGTGACTAAACGTGGCAGCGTCATAGGATGCCACCTTTCCAACAAGTCAGTTAGTCAAATTTCTGCCCTGCTAGAGATGCCCCGGTCAACTGCAAGTGCTGTTATTGTGAAGTGGAAATGTCTAGGAGCAACAACGGCTCAGCTGCGAAGTGGTAGGCCACATAAGCTCACAGAATGGGACCACTGAGTGCTGAAGCGCGTAGAGCGTAAAAATTGTCTGTCCTCGGTTGCAACACTCACTACTGAGTTCCAAACTGCCTCTGGAAGCAACGTCAGCACAATAACTGTTCGTCGAGAGCTTCAAGAAATGGGTTTCCATGGCCGAGCAGCCGCACACAAGCCTAAGATCACCATGCGCCATGCCAAGCGTCAGCTGGAGTGGTATAAAGCTCGCCACCATTGGACTCTGGAGCAGTGGAAACGCGTTCTCTGCAGTGATGAATCATGCTTCACCATCTGGCAGTCCAACGGACTAATCTGGGTTTGGTGGATTTCAGGAGAACGCTACCTGCCCGAATGCATAGTGCCAACTGTAAAGTTTGGTGGAGGAGGAATAATGGTCTGGGGCTGTTTTTCATGGTTCAGGCTAGGTCCCTTAGTTCCAGTGAAGGGAAATCTTAACGCTACAGCATACAATGACATTCTAGACGATTCTGTAATTCCAACTTTGTGGCAACAGTTTGGGGTAGGCCCTTTCCTGTTTCAGCATGACAATGCCCCCATTCACAAAGCGAGGTCCATACAGAAATGGTTTGTCGAGATTGGTGTGGAAGAAACTGACTGGCCTGCACCGAGCCCTGACCTCAACTCCATCGGACACCTTTGGGATGAATTGGAACGCCGACTGCAAGCCAGGCCTAATCGGCGAACATCAGTGTACGACCTCACTAATACTCGTGGCTGAATGGAAGCAAGTCCCCGCAGCATTGTTCCAACATCTAGTGGAAAGCCTTCCCAGAAGAGTGGAGGCGGTTATAGCAGCAAAGAGGTGACCAACTTTATATTAATACCCATTATTTTGGATGAGATGTTCGACGAGCAGGTGTCCACATACAATGCATTCGTAAAGTATTCAGACCCCTTGACTTTTTCCACGTTACAGCCTTATTCTAAAATTGATTACATTTTTTTTTCTCTCATCAATGTACACACACACCCCATAATGACAAAGCGAAAACAGGTTTTTAGACATTTTTGCAAATGTGTTAAAAATAACAAACAGAAATACCTTATTTACATAAGTATTCAGACCCTTTGCTATGAGACTCGAAATTGAGCTCAGGTGCATCCTGTTTCCATTGATCATCCTTGAGATGTTTCTACAACTTGATTGGAGTTCACCTGTGGTAAATTAAATTGATTGGACATGATTTGGAAAAGGCACACACCTGTCTATATAAGGTCCCACAGTTGACAGTACGTCAGAGCAAAAACCAAGCCATGAGGTCGAAGGAATTGTCTGTAGAGCTCCGAGACAGGATTGTGTTGAGGCACAGATCTGGGGAAGGGTGCCAAAAAATGTCAGCAGCATTGAAGGTCCCCAAGAACACAGTGGCCTCCATCATTCTTAAATGGAAGAAGTTTGGAACCACCAAGACTCTTCCTAGAGCTGGCCGCCCGGTCAACCTGAGCAATCGGGGGAGAAGGGCCTTGGTCAGGGAGGTGACCAAGAACCCGATGATTAGTCTGACAGAGCTCTAGAGTACCTCTGTGGAGATGGGATAACCTTCCAGGCCTTTATGGTAGAGTGGCCAGCCGGAAGCCACTCCTCAGTAAAAGGCACATGACAGCCTGCTTGGAGTTTGCCAAAAGGCACCTAAAGACTCTCAGACCATGACCAACAAGATTCTCTGGTCTGATGAAACCAAGATTGAACTCTTTGACCTGAATGACAAGCGTCACTTCTAGAGGAAACCTGGCACCATCATGCTGTGGGGATGTTTTTCAGTGGCAGGGACTGGGAGACTAGTCAGGATCGAGGGAAAGATGAATGGAGCAAAGTACAGAGAGATCCTTGATGAAAACCTGCTCCAGAGTGCTCAGGACCTCAGACTGGGGTGAAGGTTCACCTTCCAACAGGACAACGACCCTAAGCACACAGCCAAGACAACGCAGGAGTGGCTTCGGGACAAGTCTCTGAATGTCCTTGAGTGGCCCAGCCAGAGCCCGGACATGAACCCGATCGAACATCTCTGGAGAGACCTGAAAATTGCTGTGCAGCGACGCTCCCCATCCAACCTGACAGAGCTTGAGAGGATCTGCAGAGAAGAATGGGAGAAACTCCCTATATACAGGTGTGCTAAGTTGTAGCGTCATACCCAAGAAGACTCAAGGCTGTAATCGCTGCCGAAGGTGCTTCAACACCTGAATACTTATGTAAATGTAATCGTTTATTTTTATTTTTAAGACATTTGTTAACATTTCTAAAAACCAGTTTTTGCTTAGTCATTATGGGGTATTGTGTATAGATTGATGAGGGAAAAAACAATTGAATCAATATTAGAATAAGGCTGTAATGTAACAAAATGAGGAAAAAGTCAAGGGGTCTGAATACTTTCCGAAGGCACTGTATTATGTATACACTTCATGGTAAGCGTACAGGCCTACATGTGTGTGTACTCACTCTGTGCAGCGGCGAAGGCCGGTAAGTGTTGGAGAGTGAGCAGAGGATAAGGCAGCTCTCTGATGAACATCTTCAACAGGCCCGCTGCATCGTTGTGCCTCACCTGCTCCCAGTCAAACCGGTCCTCATAGAACTTCTGCTCGAGCTCCTGGCGAAGATGCTACAAATACCAACACCAAAACAAGAAACTGCAGCAGTTATCCCCAAAAAAGGCTCCTCCTGTGCTCAATCCAAACTCATAGAACTTCTGCTCCAGCCCCTGGCATAGATGATGTAAAACCAACACCAAAACAAGAATACACACATTATCTCCACAATGGCTCGTCCTGTGGTTAATCTCAACGCCACGGTCACCTTTGACCCCCTCCATAAGAACAAATCACATCCCTAACCATCACCATATGTGTTTGGGGAACCTAATACCCACATGGTTCCTCTAGTTGAACTCTCAAGTGTGTGTGTGGGGGGTGTCTGACCTGCCATGGTGCCTAACAAATTACAATGGAGGTGAGTGGGGGTGGAGGGGTACATCCTCCCCTTCAGTCTGCTTGTCCTAATGATGAAAGGAGGTTATCCAGACCAGACCAGAGGGTACGGAGAGGTGGAGAGGCAGAGAGGGTGGCCTCCCATAGCCTGTGAGTGATGCTGGATGAGTTGGGATATCAGGGCTGATAATCAGAGAGTCTATCCCAGTGAAGGCTCACTCTGTCTGGGAGGGACAGGTTTCATCTGTGGGCCCCTGGGCCGGCTGGGTATCATGTTAACCGTAGGGGCCTCTCGACTTGGTATGGTTCTACTTAGTACAAAATATGTTTTGGTTGAGGAACACACATAAACACACAGATATGCATGCACACATATAGGCACAGAGATATGCAACCATGCACATACACACACACATACACCAACCTCCCTAACACAGAGTTACTACATGACTACATGAGAGACAAGGAATGTGGAAATGATACGGGGAGAGATGAGTGTAGGTAGGGAGGAGTCAGAAATACACCAGTCATTAATATATTTTCTGAGCATGATTTTAATTTCCTGTCAATAACATCCATACACTGAGTATACAAAACATTAAGAACGCCTGCTCTTTCCATGGCATAGACTGACCAGGTGAATGCTATGACCCTTTATTGATGTCACTTGTTAAATCCACTTCAATCAGTGTAGATGCAGGGGAGGAGAAAGGTTAAAGAAGGATTTTTAAGCATTGAGACCAATTGATACATGGATTGTGTATGTGTGCCATTCAGATGGTGACTGGACAAGACAAAATATGTAAGGCCCACTCCTCCATACAGATCTTCTCCAGATCCTTCAGGTTTCGGGGCTGTCGCTGTGCAATACGGACTTTCAGTTCCCTCCAAAGATTTTCTATTGGGTTCAGGTCTGGAGACTGGCTAGGCCACTCCAGGACCTTGAGATGCTTCTTACGGAGCCACTCCTTAGTTGCCCTGGCTGTGTGTTTCGGGTCGTTGTCATGCTGGAAGACCAGCCACGACCCATCTTCAATGCTCTTACTGAGGGAAGGAGGTTGTTGGCCAAGATCTCGTGATACATGGCCCCATCCATCCTCCCCTCAATACGGTGCAGTCGTCCTGTCCCCTTTGCAGAAAAGCATCCCCAAAGAATGATGTTTCCACCTCCATGCTTCACGGTTGGGATGGTGTTCTTGGGGTTGTACTCATCCTTCTTCTTCCTCCAAACACGGCGAGTGGAGTTTAGACCAAAAAGCTCTACTTTTGTCTCATCAGACCACATGACCTTCTCCCATTCCTCCTCTGGATCATCCAGATGGTCATTGGCAAACTTCAGACGGGCCTGGACATGTGCTGGCTTGAGCATGGGGACCTTGCGTGCACTGCAGGATTTTAATCCATGACGGCGTAGTGTGTTACTAATGGTTTTCTTTGAGACTGTGGTCCCAGCTCTCTTCAGGTCATTACCAGGTCCTGCCGTGTAGTTCTGGGCTGATCCCTCACCTTCCTCATGATCATTGATCCCCCACGAGGTGAGATCTTGCATGGAGCCCCAGACCGAGGATGATTGACCGTCATCTTGAACTTCTTCCATTTTCCAATAATTGTGCAAACAGTTGTTGCCTTCTCACCAAGCTGCTTACCTATTGTCCTGTAGCCCATCCCAGCCTTGTGCAGGTCTACAATTTTATCCCTGATGTCCTTACACAGCTCTCTGGTATTGGCCATTGTGGAGAGGTTGGAGTCTGTTTGATTGAGTGTGTGGACAGGTGTCTTTTATACAGGTAAAGAGTTCAAACAGGTGCAAGTGCCTTTGAATGGGGTATGGTAGTAGGCGCAAGGCGAGGCGCACCGCTTTGAGTGTGTCAAGAACTGCAACGCTGCTGGGTTTTTCACGCTCAACAGTTTCCCAACTCAATATACTCAGTGTATATTCTTGGCCAGAACACATCTGCCCTTGACAACCTTAGTCTGGGTCTGGGTACCCAAAACCTATACAGTAGGATCATATAAGATAGGGTCAAGTACAGCACTAAATCAAAGAGCAAACATATCTTTCCCTTCTGTGAAATGTTTTTCAATGGTAGACATAGGCTAGAGTTACACAGAACAAGATAGCTCTATGATTGGTGATTGACAGCTACAGTATTAAAAGCTCCAGTCTCATCAGTGGAAAAGGGAGAGGGGGTGTGTGTATCTGAGGTACCTTACCTTTACTCTGGATGCAGACCCTGGTACTCTGAGAATCCCCTCTGTTTGTAGTCCTGTCTGCTCCAGCTTGGACAAGAGCTGAAACACAAGCATACACATTTTATAAACCACAAGTTTAACAAACCAAGAGGGACATTTCTATCTCAACTCGACTCTCATCTGTAAACAAAATCAACCAAATCTGACTGCATTCATTTCCTCTTACCTGTTTTCACAGAGCAGTGTTGATAACACACAGTAGAACTAGGACCAATCAGACAGGGAAGTCATTTTTGTACAAACTTCTTTTTTTTTTACAGAGAGGTTTTCAAACCACTAACAAAACAGCATTCAATTCATATTTACAACTAGCGATAAAAGCACCCACAGATTCGGTCACTGGCCCTTGATGTTTGTTTTCCCATCGCCAAACTTGTTTTGCGCCACTGAACATGACTCAGACCTGGGTTGGAGACCCGAGTCAGCGACCTGAGACAACGCTATCCGACCCACCATCTCTCACACAAGTGGTACACTCCAAAAGAAAGACAAAGACACAACCCTCCTGTTTCCTGCCTCTTAGTGAAGACTGAGAAGATACAATATTTCCCTTAAAAAGGTGCACTCCGTAAGTTCTCTCAACAGTAAACTGTGTGGTACTAACACTTGATCATTTTTGTTTAGGAGGGCTGAGGGATCTTTGCAAGTGCAATATGACAGATGAAGACCACAGGAGAGAGAGAGTAAGGCAACCCAACAATTGTATTTTATGACAAGCTTTGGATCCCAAAAGGCTAACTATCTGTTTACTAGACCACACAAAACCTGCATTCTGAAGCAATGGTTTGACCTCGTTCATCAAGTCCTCCTCCAGAAACCACTTTCCAGGTCCACATAATATAAACCAACACTGATATAGCAGTGAACAATTGCTTCAAAGAAAAGTCCTATAATTCCCTTTCAGAAGGCACTTATCTACCAAATCCCTTAAACACCACCTTGATACCCAAAACTCTAGTCATTTCCTATACATGCCCTGTAATTGGAGTTTGTCTAGACAGTCAATGTGACAAGAGTATTTTAGGTTAATTCTGGTTGGACTGGACTTTGACTGCTGGTAACAGGGTTAGCTCCTTAACTCTCAGCTACGCCAAGGTTAGGTCCGTGTCACTGGCTGACTGACTGACTGGCAGCTGCTAGGACTCTAAACAGTCAGATGTTGTTATTTTCAGTACAGCTCCTTACATACAGTACCAGATATACAGTATTTCTCAAATATATGAGCTATTAGAGCTAACATATTCTATTACATCTAAGACATTTCAGCTTTTCATTTCTAATTAATTTGTAAACATTTCTAAAAACATAATTCAACTTTGACATTATGGGGTATTGTGTGTAGGCCAGTGACACAAAATCTCAATGTAATCAATTGTCAAGAACTGCAACGCTGCTGGGTTTTTCACGCTCAACAGTTTCCCATGTGTGTCAAGAATAGTCCACCACCCAAAGGACATCCAGCCAACTTGACACAACTGTGGGAGCAATGTCAAAATTCCACTTTGACATTATGGGGTATTGTGTATAGGCCAGTGACACAAAATCTCAATGTAATCAATTGTAAATTAAAAAAGTCAAGGGGTGTGAATACTTTCTGAAGGCACTGCATATACCGTCCCAGACATATTTCTAAAATATAGCTAACATATTCTATGATAGAAATGGACATTAACTAACATCCATCCCTAGCTGACATGACAACACAAATGAAAATAAAAGTATACATAGCTTATAGTTCATCGCTTGACTCTCCTCCCTCCCCTCCCCTCCCCTCCCCCACTCGGTAGGTTTAATAGGAGTATATGGTAGACTTCTGACATTTAGTCTCTCCGGAATGTCTTTGTGATAACGTGTGAAAGCTTAACCAGGCTGACTCTAGTACTGCTACAGAGAAACAGGAGGGGTGATAGGCTCTTGGAGGGAGCAGTCAGTGCATCCCCTGACACATATTACGTTACCACAAAGCAGTAATGGCCAGCTGAGGAGGAGTCAGGGAGTGTGTTGTTGTGAGTGGTTCTGGGAAAGGCTTGCTTCAGTAGGAATAGCATGACGAAAGTGATGAGGGTCAGGATACTATGGGTTATCAGAGGGTGAGAGTAGAGCTGGGACAATAAACCAAAAATTATCGACACGACAAAACCGACCACTTATTATGGACATTTCTAAATGAAATACGTTTCTAATATGGGTGATTGTTAATAGGAAAATTGATAGGTACAACATTCAAAGTATTAGTAGTAGTTTTAAGGGTAATATTAAAAAACAACAGTAGTGCACATATAAATGTATTGTTCAGTTGATCATTATCATGATAATTCAGTCAATTTATAGCAATATGGATTTTTGTAAATATCACCCAGCTCTAGGTGTGAGTAGCACTGAGGGAAGGAGTGAGGGAGTTGGGGAGGAGAGCGAGGGAGAGACAGAAAGAGAGAAAAAGAGAGAGAAAAAAGTGAGAAGAAAGAAATAAAAAATAAACGAGGGAGAGAGAGAGACGGAGAGTTTAACTGACCCATAGAAGTGCTGAGTAGGAGAACTCCATAAATGGCAATGCAAAATAACCCCATATCAATTTTCCATTGGGGAAGTAGCAGGGATTTTCCCCCCAGTTCCATTTCATGTTAAATATTACTATAACCAGAGGGGAGAGACGCTTGTAGTTTCAAAAAGGAGAAGTAAGGGTGGTTTACCAATACAAATAGAACCAAACAGGTAAAGTACCTTTTTGAAGACGAGAGGAACCTTGGACTCTGGGAATTTCTTCTGGTCATTCTCCAGTAGAGTGGTCAGGGAAACTCCAAATACACCACTTTCTGTGTAGGAGGCGTGAAAAAAATGTAAAAATGGGATGTGAAACACAAGGGTTGTGTTCATTAGAGCAAGCAACTGAAAACGTCTTAAAAAATTTTGCAACATAAAACTTATATATACAGTGCATTCGGAAAGTATTCAGCCCCCTTGACTTTTTCCACTTTGTTACGTTACAGCCTTATTCTAAAATGGATAAAATAAAATAAAATCCTCATCAAGCTACACACAATACCCCATAATGACAAAGCAAAAACAGGTTTTTAGACATTTTGCAAATGTATTAATAACAAAAATACCTTATTTACATAAGTATTCAGACCCTTTGCTATGAGACTCAAAAATGAGCTCAGGTGCATCCTGATTCAATTGATCATCCTTGAGATGTCTCTATAACTTGATTGGAGTCCACCTGTTGTAAATTGTATTGATAAGACATGATTTGGAAAAGCACACACCTGTCTATTTAAGGTCCCACAGTTGACTGGGCAAGGGTACCAAAATATGTCTGCAGCATTGAAGGTCCCCAAGAACACAGTGGCCTCCATCATTTTTAAATGGAAGAAGTTTGGAACCACCAAGACTCTTCCTAGAGCTGGCCGCCTGGCCAAACAGAGCAATCAGGGGAGAAGGGCCTTGGGTCAGGGAGGTGACCAACAACCCGATAATCACTCTGACAGAGCTCTAGAGTTCCTCTGTGGAGATGGGAGAACCTTCCAGAAGGACAACCATCTCTGCAGCACTCCACCAATCACGCCTTTATGATAGAGTGGCCAGATGGAAGCCACTCCTCAGTAAAAGGCACATGACAGCCTGCTTGGAGTTTGCCAAAAGGCACCTAAAGACTCTCAGACCATGAGAAACAAGATTCTCTGGTTTGATGAAACCAAGATCGAACTCCTTGGCCTGAAACCAAGCGTTACATCTGGAGGAAACCTGGCACCATCCCTACAGTGAAGCATGGTGGTGGCAGCATCATGCTGTAGGGATGTTTTTCAGCGGCAGGGACTGGGAGACTAGTCAGGATCGAGGGAAAGATGAACGAAGCAAAAGTACAGAGAGATCCTTGATGAAAACATGCTCCAAAGCGCTCAGGACCTCAGACTGGGGCGAATGTTCACCTTCCAACAGGACAACGACCCTAAGCACACAGCCAAGACAACGCAGGAGTGGCTTCGGGACAAGTCTCTGAATGTCCTTGAGTGGCCCAGCCAGAGCCCGGACTTGAACCCGATCGAACATCTCTGGAAAGAACTTAAAATAGCTGTGCAGCGATGCTCCCTATCCAACCTGACAGAGCTTGAGAGGATCTGCAGAGAAGAATGGGAGAAACTCACCAAATACAGGTGTGCCAAGATTGTAGCATCATACCCAAGAAGACTCGAGGCTGTAATTGCTGCCAAAGGTGCTTCAACAAAGTACTGAGTAAAGGGTCTGAATACTTATGTAAATATGATATTTCAGTTTTCTATTTTTAATACATTTGCAAAAATGTCTAAAAACTCGTTTTTGCTTTGTCATTTTGGGGTATTGTGTGTAGATTGAGGAGGGAAAAAAACTGATTGAATCAATTTTAGAATAAGGCTGTAACGTAACAAAATGTGGAAAAAGTCAAGGGGTCTGAATACTTTCCGAATGTACTGTATATTTTCCAGGTAAACCTGTCCTGTTTAAGTGGGGTTTCTTCAGTTTTTGCCTAATGAACATGACCCAGTTAACCATCCACCCACCTCTGGCCTTGCTGCGTGCCGCTCGGTTGCGTTTGAGCTCAATGCCCAAGCAGTCGTAGAACGTGGTCAGTTCAATCAGAGAGATATAGCCGATCTTCTTCATGTCCTCACAAGATAGGTCTTGTATGTGGGTGAGGCCTAGTTTAGGCCTAGGCAGCTGAAATGTCTGTACAAGACAAGACCATGGTCATTCATAAGAAACAGTCTCGATCATCAACACATCTTACATATTCCAACAGGTTGCCAGAGGTCGGCCTATTGGTTAACACAGCTGCTTTCAAACCATACCACACACAGCCCCCTACAGCTGGGGTTCAAATTTCTGTTCTGTACATTCCCTTCCATCTGTATGTCGCGCTCAAATTTTCTAAAAGGGGAGTTCCAAAAGGTCAGAGGTCAGAGTTGAGACTCACTGGCAGGTCGGGGTCGTCTCTGCGGATGCGTTGGCAGTCCTGGCAGTCCCCCTGGCGGCCCCTGCGGTGGGCAGTGACGCCCTCGGAGTAAGGCACCTCGAAAGACAGGGAGTCAGAGGTATCCTGAGGGGGAGGGCACTCTGAAACACGTCCCTCCACTGGGGAGAAGCTGGGAAAAGCAGGTCGCACTGGAACACACGCAGACAGACAGACACACGTGCACACACACACATACAGAATGATGGGCACATCACCAGTATGTTCCCCTATGCAAAGACATCCGTCCAACCAACCAGATGGAAATTACCTATGTTGATGACTTGGTCACAGTCCAATGTGTTTTCCACATTGATTCAATCCCGTTGACAGAATTAGGTTGAAATAGCATGGAAACAACATTGATTCAACCCATTGGAGTGGTGGCCTCACAGTCGGTTGCATCAGCCAACCAAATCCAACCAAACTAACAGGGTACATTAAATGGTGGTAACATATTGAGAGACTATAGACTCACCTCTAGAAGACGTCCGGTGGATGCATCTGGAAGGCATGTGTCCATTGGGTGACTTGGGGGGGACAGGCGGTATGGGATCAACCAGCTAAAAGGATAGGGGACATTCATGATCATCATTTATGCTAATACAGTGTGTGTGGAGTTTGTTTCACAAAACAAGTATTATCAACAACTAAACATCAGCTTTTAGAAGTGGGACGCATGAAAATATGAATCCTGCTTTAGCATTTGACTATGGTGAAATGAGTCAGATCTTCTTCTAAACGATCACAGGAGTTGCAGTGAACTGAATTAACACTAGCGTTGTGTTCAGCTAACCATCTCATCAGTCACAGTATCAGATGTGTGAACAGCGACGAGGGATACGGCTGTTTCGTTCCAATGCATTTACTACCATATATGGCTCTGCAGTATATTTGCTGACATGGGGAGAGAGAAGAGTGGGTATCAATTAAACAAAGGAGCGTTCAACAGAGCCAGCTGTTTTGTTTTGTTGTACACCTCCTAGTCAGCGAAAAGAGCATGGTCAACGGTTATGGACAATGCTGCCAGAATTGACTGGACCAAACCACACTAGGATATAGAAATGTAGCCTTTATACAGTAGGTTTCATGTACATAAAATTGCATTTCACAGGTCTGAGAAAGAGCTTGAGTTCATAGTCACCAAAATACTAACGTTTGGCTAAATACATTACGTATGCTTTTTCTTTCCAACGCTGTAATCTTACACTCCACCAACCAAATACAAAAAGAGACTCCACCATCTTTCACTATTAGATTTCGACAAAACTGGCCATGGTCTTTAATCAATCCTCATCCAGACTGAATGGCCTGCTTAATGGATCCGGTCTCAATGTCCTTGGGGCCTAAATCCATTTCGCTAATCATACTAAAAAATCTACAGTGGTCTGTGGGGCCTGCCAGTAAGACAGTGCTCTAGCTGGAGTAGGGTGAAGGCTCTCTGTGTCCTGGACTCAGCTGTCATCCTAGCTGGAACTGAGTGGTGCGTATGACTCAGAATCCTGTGCCCCCTGCCAGATCTGTGACTCACCCTAGAGGCTACTGCCACCGCCACACAGCAGTGCTGACAGGGGCATTGTGGCAGTATTTGGCGTGGGTGCATTATTAGTCGTATCACCCCTCCCCATTAATTCATGCTGTAAATATCTTCATAGCAACACAACACCCTTTAATAGCCATTGCAGCTAGCTAGCTGATTCCCATGACTGACAACTCTGTGGGCTTGCTACAGTTGAAGTTGGAAGTTTACATACACTTAGGTTGGTGTCATTAAAACCTGTTTTTCAACCACTCCACAAATGTCTTGTTAACAAACTATAGTTTTGGCAAGTCAGTTAGGACATCTACTTTGTGCATGACACAAGTAATTTTTCCAGCAATTGTTCAGACAGATTATTTCACATATAATTCACTGTATCACAATTCCAGTGGGTCAGAAATTTACATACACTAAGTTGACTGTGCCTTTAAACAGCTTGGAAAATTCCAGAAAATGATGTCATGGCTTTAGAAGCTTCTGATAGGCTAATTAACACCATTTGAGTCAATTGGAATGTGTACCTGTGGATGTATTTCAAGGCCTACCTTCAAACTCAGTGCCTCTTTGCTTGACATCATTGGACAATCAAAATAAATCAGCCAAGACCTCATAATTTATTTTTTTAGACCTCCACAAGTCTTGTTCATCCTTGGGAGCAATTTCCAAACGCCTGATGTTACCACGTTCATCTGTACAAACAATAGTACGCAAGTATAAACACCATGGGACCACGCAGCCGTCATCCCGCTCAGGAAGGAGACGCGTTCTGTCTCCTAGAGATGAACGTACTTTGGTGCGAAAAGTGCAAATCAATCCCAGAACAACAGCAAAGGACCTTGTGAAAATGCTGGAGGAAAGAGGTACAAAAGTATCTATATCCACAGTAGAACAAGTCCTATATTAAGATAACCTGAAAGGCCGCTCAGCAAGGAAGAAGCCACTGCTCCAAAACCGCCATAAAAAAGCCAGACTACGGTTTGCAACTGCACATGGGGACAAAGATCATACTTTTTGGAGAAATGTCCTCTGGTCTGATGAAACAAAAATAGCACTGTTTGGCCATAATGACCATCGTTATGTTTGGAGGTAAAAGGGGAAGGCTTGGAAGCCGAAGAACACCATCCCAACCGTGAAGCACGGGGGTGGCAGCATCATGCTGTGAGGGTGCTTTGCTGCACGAGGGACTGGTGCACTTCACAAAATAGGATGGCATCATGAGGAAGGAAAATTATATGGATATATTGAAGCAACATCTCAAGACATCAGTCAGGAAGTTAAAGCTTGGTCGCAAATGGGTCTTCCAAATAGACAATGACCCCCAAGCACACTTCCAAAGTTGTGGCAAAATGGCTTAAGGACAACAAAGTCAAGGTATTGGAATGGCCATCACAAAGCCCTGACCTCAATCCTATAGAAAATGTGTGGGCAGAACTGAAAAAGCGTGTGCGAGCAAGGAGGCCTACAAACCTGACTCAGTTAAACCAGCTCTGTCAGGAGGAATGGGCCAAAATTCACCCAACTTATTGTGGGAAGCTTGTGGAAGGCTACACGAAACGTTTGACCCAAGTTAAACAATTTAAAGGCAATGCTACCAAATACTAATTGAGTGTATGTAAACTTCTGACCCACTGGGAATGTGATGAAATAAATAAAAGCTAAAATCAATCATTCTCTCTACTATTATTCTGACATTTCACATTCTTAAAATAAAGTGGTGATCCTAACTGACCTAAGACAGGGAATTTTTACTAGGATTAAATGTCAGGAATTGTGAAAAACTGAGTTTAAATGTATTTGGCTAAGGTGTATGTAAACTTCCGACTTCAACTGTACCTAATATACCACCAACCCTTCTACAGAACATATTACAATGCTGCTATGCTATTTGATGTCCTTGGATCTAAGCAGTGCGTGCAGTACACAGCTATCTGAAAACAGTATGGGGATCTAAGCAGTGCGTGCAGTACACAGCTATCTGAAAACAGTATGGTACTTCCCCGTTGCTCTTCTCATGTAAAACTTCTTCCACATTCCAGCTAACAGTCAGTCAGTGCTCCAGTTCTATTTCCAGAGAAAGAGGAGGCAGCTATCAGCCGAGAGCTGCTTTACAGGGTTGGGTAAGCATGAGGAAGAGCACATCGTGTTTCCACCGTCCACCCCCACTCCTCTGACAATGGCCCATGCCAGAGCCATGTATACCGTATAAGCCTATAATGGTTCTGGTCCATACCAACTGGGTTGGTGTTTAAATACTGGGGGATAACACACTTGAGTGTCTGAAGCAAGTCTACTGGACTCCTCTCCTTACTCTAGCCCAGTGATGGGCAACTGGCGGTCCCTTTTGAAGGCCCTTGGATCCTTGGATATACACTACCAGTCAAAAGTTTTAGAACACCTACTCATTCAAGGGTTTTCTTTCTTTTTACTATTTTCTACATTGTAGAATAATAGTGAAGACATCAAAACTATGAAATAACACATATGGAATCATGTAGTAACCAAAAAAAGTTAAACAAATTAAAATATATTTTATATTTGAGATTCTTCAAATAGCCACCCTTTGCCTTGATGACAGCTTTGCACACTCTTGGCATTATCTCAACCAGCTTCACCTGGAATGCTTTTCCAACAGTCTTGAAGGAGTTCCCACATGTTGAGCACTTGTTGGCTGCTTTTCCTTCACTCTGCGGTCCAACTCATCCCAAACCATCTCAATTTGGTTGAGATCGGGGGGTTGTGGAGGCTGGGTCATCTGATGCAGCACTCCATCACTCTCCTTCTTGGTAAAATAGCCCTTACACAGCCTGGAGGTGTGTTGGGTCATTGTCCTGTTGAAAAACAAATGATAGTCCCACTAAGCCCAAACCAGATGGGATGGAGTATCACTGCAGAATGCTGTGGTAGCCATGCTGGTTAAGTGTTCCTTGAATTCTAAATAAATCACAGACAGTGTCACCAGCAAAGCACCCTCACACCATAACACATCCTCCTCCATGCTTTACGGTGGGAAATACACCTGCGAAGATAATCCGTTCACCCACACCGCGTCTCACAAAGACACGGCGGTTGGAACCAAAAATCTCTAATTTGGACTCCAGACCAAAGCACAAATTTCCACCTGTCTAATGTCCATTGCTTGTGTTTCTTGGCCCAAGCAAGTCTCTTCTTATTATTGGAGTCCTTTAGTAGTGGTTTCTTTGCAGCAATTCGACCATGAAGGCCTGATTCACGCAGTTTCCTCTGAACAGTTGACGTTGAGATGTGTGTTACTTGAACTCTGTGAAGCATTTATTTGGGCTGCAATTTCTGAGGCTGGTAACTCTAATGAACTTATCCTCTGCAGCAGAGGTAACTCTGGGTCTTCCATTTCTGTGCCGGTCCTCATGAGAGCCAGTTTCATCATAACGCTTGATGATTTTTGTGACTGCACTTGAAGAAACTGACCTTCATGTCTTAAAGTAATGATGGACTGTCATTTCTCTTTGCTTATTTGAGCTGTTCTTGTCATAATATGGACTTGCCAAATAGGGCTATCTTCTGTATACCCCCCCCACTACCTTGTCACAACACAACTGATTGGCACAAGCGCATTAAGGAAAAATATATTCCACAAATTAACTTTTAAGAAGGCACACATGTTAATTGAAATGCATTCCAGGTGACTACCTCATGAAGCTGGTTGAGAGAATGCCAAGAGTGTGCAAAGCTGTCATTAAGGCAAAGGGTGGCTATTTGAAGAATCTCAAATATAAAATATATAAATCCATCCCATCTGGTTTGGGCTTAGTGGGACTATCATTTGTTTTTCAACAGGACAATGACCCAACACACCTCCAGGCTGTGTAAGGGCTATTTTACCAAGAAGGAGAGTGATGGAGTGCTGCATCAGATGACCCAGCCTCCACAACCCCCCGACCTCAACCAAATTGAGATGGTTTGGGATGAGTTGGACCGCAGAGTGAAGGAAAAGCAGCCAACAAGTGCTCAACATGTGGGAACTCCTTCAAGACTGTTGGAAAAGCATTCCAGGTGAAGCTGGTTGAGAGAATGCCAAGAGTGTGCAGAGCTGTCACCAAGGCAAAGGGTGGCTATTTGAAGAATCTCAAATATAAAATATATTTTAATTTGTTTAACTTTTTTTGGTTACTACATGATTCCATATGTGTTATTTCATAGTTTTGATGTCTTCACTATTATTCTACAATGTAGAAAATAGTAAAAAGAAAGAAAACCCTTGAATGAGTAGGTGTTCTAAAACTTTTGACTGGTAGTGTATATCCAAGGATCCAAGGGCCTTCAAAAGGGACCGCCAGTTGCCCATCACTGGGCTAGAGTAAGGAGAGGAGTCCAGTAGACTTGCTTCAGACACTCAAGTGTGTTATCCCCCAGTATTTAAACACCAACCCAGTTGGTATGGACCAGAACCATTATAGGCTTATACGGTATACATGGCTCTGGCATGGGCCATTGTCAGAGGAGTGGGGGTGGACGGTGGAAACACGATGTGCTCTTCCTCATGCTTGCCCAACCCTGTAAAGCAGCTCTCGGCTGATAGCTGCCTCCTCTTTCTCTGGAAATAGAAATTTAACACTTTTTTGGTTACTACATGATTCCATATGTGTTATTTCATAGTTTTGATGTCTTCACTATTATTCTACAATGAGGAAAATAGTAAAAAAATTAAGAAAAACCCTTGAAAGAGTAGGTGTTCTAAAACTTTTGACCGGTAGTGTATATACAGTGGGGAAAAAAAGTATTTAGTCAGCCACCAATTGTGCAAGTTCTCCCACTTAAAAAGATGAGAGAGGCCTGTAATTTTCATCATAGGTACACGTCAACTATGACAGACAAATAGAGAAATTTTTTCCAGAAAATCACATTGTAGGATTTTTAATGAATTTATTTGCAAATTATGGTGGAAAATAAGTATTTGGTCACCTACAAACAAGCAAGATTTCTGGCTCTCACAGAACTGTAACTTCTTCTTTAAGAGGCTCCTCTGTCCTCCACTCTTTACCTGTATTAATGGCACCTGTTTGAACTTGTTATCAGTATAAAAGACACCTGTCCACAACCTCAAACAGTCACACTCCAAACACCACTATGGCCAAGACCAAAGAGCTGTCAAAGGACACCAGAAACAAAATTGTAGACCTGCACCAGGCTGGGAAGACTGAATCTGCAAAAGGTAAGCAGCTTGGTTTGAAGAAATCAACTGTGGGAGCAATTATTAGGAAATGGAAGACATACAAGACCACTGATAATCTCCCTCGATCTGGGGCTCCACGCAAGATCTCACCCTGTGGGGTCAAAATGATCACAAGAACGGTGAGCAAAAATCCCAGAACCACACGGGGGGACCTAGTGAATGACCTGCAGAGAGCTGGGACCAAAGTAACAAAGCCTACCATCAGTAACACACTACACCGCCAGGGACTCAAATCCTGCAGTGCAAGACGTGTCCCCCTGCTTAAGCCAGTACATGTCCAGGCCCGTCTGAAGTTTGCTAGAGTGCATTTGGATGATCCAGAAGAGGAATGGGAGAATGTCATATGGTCAGATGAAACCAAAATAGAACTTTTTGGTAAAAACTCAACTCGTCGTGTTTGGAGGACAAATAATGCTGAGTTGCATCCAAAGAACACCATACCTACTGTGAAGCATGGGGGTGGAAACATCATGCTTTGGGGCTGTTTTTCTGCAAAGGGACCAGGACAACTGATCCGTGTAAAGGAAAGAATGAATGGGGCCATGTATCGTGAGATTTTGAGTGAAAACCTCCTTCCATCAGCAAGGGCATTGAAGATGAAACGTGGCTGGGTCTTTCAGCATGACAATGATCCCAAACACACCGCCCGGGCAACGAAGGAGTGGCTTCGTAAGAAGCATTTCAAGGTCCTGGAGTGGCCTAGCCAGTCTCCAGATCTCAACCCCATAGAAAATCTTTGGAGGGAGTTGAAAGTCCGTGTTGCCCAGCGACAGCGCCAAAACATCACTGCTCTAGAGGAGATCTGCATGGAGGAATGGGCCAAAATACCAGCAACAGTGTGTGAAAACCTTGTGAAGACTTACAGAAAACGTTTGACCTGTGTCATTGCCAACAAAGGGTAAATAACAAAGTATTGAGAAACTTTTGTTATTGACCAAATACTTATTTTCCACCATAATTTGCAAATAAATTCATTAAAAATCCTACAATGTGATTTTCTGGATTTTTTCCCCTCATTTTGTCTGTCATAGTTGACGTGTACCTATGATGAAAATTACAGGCCTCTCTCATCTTTTTAAGTGGGATAACTTGCACAATTGGTGGCTGACTAAATACTTTTTTCCCCCACTGTACACACACACACACCTCCACTCACACACTATATGACCAAAAGTATGTGGACACCTCCTGAACATCTCATTCCAAAATCATGGGCATTAATATGGAGTTGGTCCCCCCTTTGCTGCTAGAACAGCCTCCACTCTTCTGGAAAGACTTTCCACTAGATGTTGGATCATTGCTGAGGGTACTTGCTTCCATTCAGCCACAAGAGCATTAGTGAGGTCGGGCACTGATGTTGGGCGATTAGGCCTGGCTTGCAGTCAGCGTTCCAATTCATCCCAAAGGTGTTAGATGGGGTTGAGGTCAGGGCTATGTGCAGGACAGTCAAGTTCTTCCACAACGATCTCGACAAACCATTTAAATGTATGCTGTAGCGTTAAGATTTCCCTTCACTGGAACTAAGGGGCCTAGCCAGAACCATGAAAAACAGCCCCAGACCATTATTCCTCCTCCACTAAACTTTACAGTTGGCACTATGCATTGGGGCAGGTAGTGTTCTCCTGACATCCGCCAAACCCAGATTCGTCCGTCGGACTGCCAGATGGTGAGACGTGATTCATCACTCCAAAAAACGTGTTTCCACTGCTCCAGAGTCCAATGGCGGCGAGCTTTACACCACTCCAGCCGACACTTGGCATTGCGCATGGTGATCTTAGGCTTGTGTGCGGCTGCTGGGCCATGGAAACCCATTTCATGAAGCTCCCGACGAACAGTTCTTCTGCTGACGTTGCTTCCAGAGGAAGTTTGGAACTCGGTAGTGAGTGTTGCAACCAAGGACAGATTATTTTTACGCGCTACACGCTTCAGCACTTGGCGGTCCCGTTCTGTGAGCTTGGGTAGCCTATCACCTCACGGCTGAGCCGTTGTTGCTCTTAGACGTTTCCACTTCACAATAACAGCACTTACAGTTGACTGGGGCAGCTCTATCAGGGCAGAAATTTTACGAACCGACTTGTTGGAAAGGTGGCATCCTATGACGGTACCACGTTGAAAGTCACTGAGCTCTTCAGTAAGGCCATCCTACTGCCAATGTTTGTCTATGGAGATTGCATGGCTGTGCGCTCGAGTGGGCACATTTGCTATACAGTATAACACAACAGTTTTTGTGATAAAACCATCAGTAGAATTGAAAATGCGATGGAAACCCATTTCACTTGTATTTTTTATTCGGTACGTGGTAACTTAACGGCAAAAGTTATTTTTATGTGTACTATGTCATCACGCAAAGCCTTTTATCCGCAAAAAGTAAGTTTGATGGAAACATCTCTGGTGGAAAATGTGCATATTGTTTTATGCAGATTCTTGAATATTCGCATGAAAATCTGTCGCAAATTGGATGGAAACCTAGCTACTGATATAGTCAGTCAATTAGCCATGTCTGCAACAACAACAAAAAATTTGTGGGTACACAGACCCGCGAGCAACTGCGGCCCCTCATGATGAGTTCAGATTTTGTGGCCCCGACCTCCATCAAAGTCGCCCATCCCTGACATACAGGATTTGCATACGTACTGAGATTACAGAGGATCAGTAGCACAACTGAGAATACCAAAGGTTCCATATCAAGTTGAATTTAGGCCATAGGGGCAGACGCACCAGTTATAGCCTAACAAGGGCCAGACATTAGACAGACTTCATGTCAACATGTTTCCTGTTAGGATTTCAAATCGGAAATATACAGACTAACTCCATAAACACAATTGCTGAGTGCTTATCCCAAAGCACTCTTGCCATAACCCAAAGCACCCACCAATGTGTCTGGCGTGGAGAAGACATCTTGGACGTGTCTGGCCGGCTGCTTGTTCCTCTTCCTCATGGTCAGGGTATAGTTGTCCACACGCTTCTTCACCATGGCTGCCTGTGAGCGCGTCAGCGTGGAGAGCAGCGCCTCCGCAGGCCCCTCCCCCAACTCCCCCGACACAAACGTGGACAGACCCGCCTCCTGCAGCCACGCCTCCTCAAGTTCGGCCTCTGTAAGTGGAGGAAGAATAATTTAGACAAATCAGTATCCATAGTATCTATCAGAATCTACATTTGTAACCATCGCTATGGTTTATCTGTTGCATGCCCGAATCAATATGACCCTGGTTGGTACGGACCATCCATACTGCCCCTCTCCAGCAGGTCCTCGTGGCCCCGTTCACCATCCTCCTCGATGTTCTTCACTTCGCTCCAGTAGTCCTCCATGGAGTCTTGGGAGTCCCGCGACGCCAGGCGCTCCAGCGAGCTGGGGGGAGAAGAGGGCCTGGCCCCCCTGGAACTCATCCTGCCTAGTAGGCCTATCCCCTGGTACTGCACCTTCCTGGGGTGGGGAAGGAAAGGAGGGGGAAGTCAGTTAGTCAATAGGCTGGTATTGGTGACCATTTATACTGAACAAAAATATAAATGCAACATGCAACAATTTCAACGATTTTACTGCGTTACAGTTTATATAAGGAAATTAGTCAATTGAAATAAATTCATGAGGCCCTAATCTATGGATTTCACATGACTGGGCAGGGGCGCAGCCATGGGTGGGCCCGCCCACCCAAGGAGCCAGGCCCTGCCAATCAGAATGAGTTTCCCACAAAAGGGTTTTATTACAGACAGAAATACTCCTCAGTTTAAATCAGCTGTCCGGGTGGCTGGTCTCAGATTATCCCGCAGGTGAAGAAACCGGATGTGTAGGTCCTGGGCTGGCGTGGTTACATGTGGTCTGCGGTTGTGAGGCCGATTGGACGTACTGCCAAATTCTCTAAAATGACGTTGGAGGCGGCTTTTGGTAGAGAAATTAACATTTAATTCTCTGGCAACAGCTCTGGTGGATATTCCTGCAGTCAGCATGCCAATTGGATGCTCCCTCAAAACTTGAGACATCTGTGGCATTGTGTTGTGTGACAAAACTGCACATTTTAGAGTGGCCTTTTATTGTCCCCAACACTGCCTTGTATAACTGCCTTAATTTTGCTGGACCCCAGGAAGAGTAGCTGCTGCCTTGGCAGCAGTTAATGAGGATCCATAATAAACACAAATTCAAGGTGCACCTGTGTAATGATTATGCTGTTTAAATCAGCTTCTTGTTATGCCACACCAGCCAGGTGGATGGATTATGTGGTCCTCTGTAGCTCTATGTGGTCCTCTATGTGGTCCTCTGTGGTCCTCTGTAGCTCAGCTGGTAGAGCACGGCGCTTGTAACGCCAAGGTAGTGGGTTCGATCCCCGGGACCACCCATACACAAAAATGTATGCACGCATGACTGTAAGTCGCTTTGGATAAAAGCGTCTGCTAAATGGCATATTATATATATTATATTATATTATATTATATATATTATATTATATTATATTATCTTGGCAAAGGAGAAATGTTCACTAACACCAACAAATTTGTGCACAACATTTTAGAGATGGAACATTTCTGGGATCTTTTATTTCAGCTCATGAAACAAGGACCAACACTTTACATGTTGTGTTTATATTTTTGTTCAGTATATTTAGTGGTTATAAAGCCTATATGAATGCTTTATGAGGCCTACATAAGACGCACTTCAAATAAAGTGGGACCGATGGTCTACATAGAGTACTTAACAGTGAATCAGGGAGAATTCCCTCTTGAAAGATGCTTAAAAAGTGTGAATCTAGTATATATATTTTTTTAATCAAGCTGTTTTTCACAGTTAAACCAACTCTGGTATTACACAATCTGAAACTGCAAAAACAGTCTACTATCCCCCCCCACCCCCATACCAGCTTTATAACCACTACATATAACCGTATTTCATTCTCTATAAAGGATGAATAAATGTGAACAAATAAATGGATGATTATGTCACACAGTTATGCCACATTATGAATCTGAATCTGAATTATGAATCTAGACTCCTGAGTGGCGCAGTGGTCTAAGGCACTGCATCGCAGTGCTAACTGTGCCACTAGCGATCCTGGTTCGAATCCAGGCTCTGTCGCAGCCGGCCGCGACCGGGAGACTCATGGGCGGCGCACAATTGGCCCAGCGTTGTCCAGGGTAGGGGAGGGAATGGCCGGCAGGGATGTAGCTCAGTTGATAGAGCATGTCGTTTGCAACGCCAGGGTTGTGGGTTCGATTCCCACGGGGGGCCAGTATAATTTTTTAAAAATTATTCACTAACTGTAAGTCGCTCTGGATAAGAGCGTCTGCTAAATGACTAAAATGTAAATGTAAAATGTAATGAATCTTTCTAGAGCATGAAATACGGTTATGGATGATTTGTGACCCATGTATGTAGTGCTTATAAAGCCTGTATGAATGCTTTGTTGAAGCCTTCATAAGATGCACTTCAAACAAAGCGGGACGTAGACTAACAAGCACATTTGTCAGAATGGTCAATCACAAGTAACTTTAATGAATATCAAAATAAGGAGAAATGTAAGTTGCGGATGGAACTCTTATAGGCTGATGAGGGTGCCTATGAGGGTGCCTATGAAGGTGCCTATGCCACATGTATGAGCATGTAGGCTGTGTGTGCACAAGTGTGATCACTCCTTGACATCAACAACCTCATACACGATCATACGGAATCCATTCCCACTCCGAGAGCCATATCTTTCCCACAGGTCTGTCTGCTTCTAGTCACAGTCTGGTTCCCATTACAACCCCTAATTACAGAGGGGCATGGTGACATCACAGATCCTTTCATTTCAGACAGGCAGAGTTATGAGTGGTCAGGAGAGCAGCACCTTGTTGTGGCCTGTTGGCCCCATAACCCTGTATGGCTGGCCCCCTGTCTGGTGGGGTCTGATCTGATGGGCCAGGACAATGCTGGGATAGGGGGTTCCTGGTCCAAAGAATGATAGGGATGGGAAAGGACTGTGGAAGAGTAATGAGGGCAGTATCACACAGACAGGCAGTCACACACACACACAGGCAGGCACACACACCCTTATCTCCCCCTCCACAGCTGGAGGAGGGACATGAATAGGAGGCGAGGAGGAGGTTAAAGGGGTCTTCCCCAGGCCTCTCAGGGGTTTCCTACTATCTAGTCGGCATGGAAACCTTCCCAAGTTCATTAAAATGGAAGCTGGCCCTGGCCTCACTTAGGGGGATGCTATTGATTAGAGTGGTGCATGCTGGGGGTCCGGATGGAGCTTTCGGAAAGGAACTATGTTTTTAATGGGCTTTTGTTCCCCTGGGTGCCCCTCTACTTCACGCTCCTGATGTTATCAGATGATATTTCACAGAATGGCCAAAAGCATGTGAACACCTGCTCGTCGAACATCTCATTCTAAAATCATGGGCATTAATAGAGAGCTGCTATAACAGCCTCCACTCTTCTGGGAAGGCTTTCCACTAGATGTTGGAACATTGCTGCGGGTACTTGCTTCCATTCAGCCACAAGAGCATTAGTGAGGTCGGGCACTGATCTTGGGCGATTAGGCCTGGCTCACATTTGGCATTCCAATTCATCCCAAAGGTGTTCGATGGGGTTGAGGTCAGGGCTCTATGCAGGCCAGTCAAGTTCTTCCACACCGATCTCGACAAACCATTTCTGTATGGACCTCGCTTTGTGCACGGGGGCATTGTCATGCTGAAACAGGAAAGGGGCTTCCCCAAACTGTTGCCACAAAGTTGGAAGCACAGAATCGTCTAGAATGTAATTGTATGCTGCAGCGTTAAGATTTCCCTTCACTGGAACTAAGGGGCCTAGCCAGAACCATGAAAAACAGCCCCAGATCATTATTCCTCCTCCACTAAACTTTACAGTTGGCACTATGCATTCGGGCAGGTAGCGTTCTCCTGGCATCCGCCAAACCCAGATTCGTCCGTCGGACTGCCAGATGGTGAAGCGTGATTCATCACTCCAGAGAACGCGTTTCCACTGCTCCAGAGTCCATTGGCCGCAAGCTTTACACCACTCCAGCCGACGCTTGGTATTGCGCATGGTGATCTTAGGCTTGTGTGCGGCTGCTCGGCCATGGAAACCCATTTCATGAAGCTCCCGACGAACAGTTATTGTGCTGATGTTGCTTCCAGAGGCAGTTTGGAACTCGGTAGTGAGTGTTGCAACCAAGGACAGCACTCGGCAGTCCCGTTCTGTGAGCTTGTGTGGCCTACCACTGACTTTCCACTTCACAATAACAGCACTTACAGTTGACCGGGGCATCTATAGCAAGGCAGAAATTTGACGAACTGACTTGTTGGAAAAGTGGCATCCGATGGTGCCATCTTGAAAGTCACTGAGCTCTTCAGTACAGACCATTCTACTACCAATATTTGTCTATGGAGATTGCATGGCTGTGTGCTCGATTTTATACACCTGTCAGCAACGGGTGTGGCTGAAATAGCCCAATCCACCAATTTTAAGGGATGTCCACATACTCTCCATTACAGGAAGAGTAGTTATAGAGCACACCAAGGCAAAGTATTAGCTAAGCAACTAGAACACTTTGAGCCTATAACTATCGATATACTGTAGGCCTAATGACACAGATATCATACTCATTTTAATGAACACACACAACCTTTTTCTAGGGTTCCATGTGAGCAGAATGAAATAAAAATTAATTGGGCGTTTCAGGTGTAGGGCTGGTCTATTTGGGCGTTTCAGGTGTAGGGCTGGTCTATTGACACACAGAAATATGCTGTGCTTGTTGATGAGCAGGTTCAGAGGCTATACCTCATGTGCACACTTTCACCTGATGAGAACCCAATCACTGGGACTAGTGTGTGTGTGTGTGTGTGTGTGCGTGACCAAGTGTTCATTTTTAATACCTCATTGCAAAACCAGATCTATTCTTGATAAGAATCTGGCTTTATAAAGGCACAGCCATACAGGCTGAAGGAAGGATCCAGATCTGTGGACGGCATCACAACAACTCTTCACCCTACACTGCCTGTGAACAACAAGGAATGTTATCTAGCTAGATCACCTGCTATGATGCTGGCAAGTAAGGTAATATAAAGGTCAGGACCTGTATTTACACTGTGTTTCAGAGTAGCCGTGCTGATCTAGGATAAGGTCCTCTGACTCCATACATCTTACGAGCTTCAAGATAAAACTGATCTTAGATCAGCACTTTGAGACACTTTGTGAATATTGACCCAGGTTATTTTTCTAGAACAGAATGATCATTTGAGTACTCCATTTTCAACGCTTATTCCTTGAGGGGAAAATCTAAAGTCAATAGTAGACACACTACAACATCACCTTGGTTGATCCACAGAGTGGTTCATCTCCAGTCTCCAAAACATCAATAAACACATCTGGTTAAAGCCCATAATTAAAGAAGCCTTATAAGGTCAAATAGATAAGTGTGAGAACAGTAAAGGTTTGCATGACAACAACACACG